GATAACCGCCATTGGAAGATGATGTGGAACTTTTTGTAGATGTGCTGGAACTTGAGTCATTGAATGGCCGGATAAGGAAAACTGCACTTAACTGGACCTGAAATTCAGGAAATGATTTCTAGGACAGAATACTCTATCCCAGTTCATAGGGAATTGAAAGTAAAGTTCTGGAATTTAATTCTTTATTCCAAATTGGACATAAAAATCTTGAACTCTACTGTGAATGAAAGAATGGATTAAAGCCAGTATTTAATGGAAGCTGATTGCTAGTAAAAGAACTCCCAAATCCATACTTTTTAAACAGACATAAGAATCCCAATAAACTTGCTTTGGGGGTTTACTGTACAAGGAATAACCTGAGCACCAAGTTCTTCTATTTTGTCTTTCTTCAACACCCAGACTATTCATAAAGCATTTGTCTTTAGATGGCAATCTTTTTATCCAACTGAAGCATCATCATGGCAGTCTTTTTACCCACCTGATGGATCATCGTATCGTCTACATGATTGGCTGCTCTGAGTTCCCTCTCAAGGTGTTGAACAATCACGGACAAGAGGATCCTTGTAAATGAGAACATTCTCCCAAGTAAAGCTGGAACAGGATCTGCCCTTCATGGTGTGTCTGGTTTTAGACTGTTGGGCATATAATCTTGATTCTACTAGATGTCTTTACTTGAACAATTTAACTGACCTGCCTTACTTGTAAAACACAAAGTTGAGTCTCGGTAGTATAAGTGGATTCCATGCATAATGGTGGTCGTCATATGATGTGATGTGAGAATGACAGACAATTGCAAATAAATACCTTGAACAATACCACCTGAGAACTGTTCTTCAATCTAAGCGTGGACAACTAAGAGGCACTTTTAACCTTTTGAGGTGTTGTGAAAGGACGAATATGCTGAGTGGATTGCAACGAAAATCCTGCTTGTTTGTCACTCTGATTGTCTTCTTGAATAAAATGCTCACATTCAGTGTATGTGGGCCTAGTCTCATTTCTGCTTGACTATAAAATTGATCAAATATTGAGCAGTATGGCAGGATGTAAAAGTTTAAAACAAATTTGTGATTCTAGACCTCATCACTGGAGTGAGGTATAAAAAGGCATTTATACTCAGTACCTGTGTCCTGTCATCATGTAGATATAGTTTTGCTGTCATTCAGACTTTGCTATGTTACAGTGTACATCTTGAGCTACAAGGAGCCCACCCATATACATGGGCTCATCATCATGAGAAGACCCATATCATCCTGAACAGATGGGGTTACCCAGAAATAGATTTATGGCAAATTTCACAATAAAGCTACTGAAAAACTGCTGGCCTAAACAAGACTATTAAGCCAATATTAAATGTTATCTGTTTTCTTACTGAAGATGTTTCTTTTCTTGTCCCTTCTTCATTACATACTCATATGTTGGATCATTCACAATATCTAATCAGAGGAGATGTTAATCCTAGTAACCTGTAAGGGTCAAATAAAACTCTGATCTCAGGTATATTGGAACAAATTTGATCATGCATGATCAAATTCTCTGTGGAATATGATTGCTCCTATGCTCCTAAAATCATGAACGGATCCTCCATGGAATATAACTGGCCAGAGTTGAATAATAATAATAATAATAATCCTTGCATTTGATATAACGCTTTTCAAGTCAGGAGGACGTCCCAAAGTGCTTCACAGAATACACTGTAAAGTGAATTGACCGTATATTTGTGGGAGAAAGTGGCAGCCAATTGCGCACAGCAATGTCCCACAAACAGTCGTGGATTGAAAATGACAAATTTATTATTGTTTTTGGCTTTGGAGGGATTATTATTAGGCGTATGGAGTAAGGAAACATGCCCAAGGTTTCGCCCTGCCTGGAATTGAACTCGGGTCTCTCGCTTGCAAAGCGAGTGCTCTAACTACTGAGCTACAGGACTCAACATAATGTGGGTGTTAAAGTTGGATTAGTAACCTGGAGTTTTCATGGTCACCTTTGAAGGCAGGGAAAAGTTCATAAAGCTTTATCTTGGAGGTTTTATTTGTGGTTGGTTGCCTCAGAAGATTGAATGCATTAGGTGGAGTCCTTGGTAAAGCAGATTGTATATGGTCTATGGACAGAATGGGCTTGATGGGCTGAACGGCCTCTTCTTGTTCCATATTTTCTTATGCAGTTTGCGCCAGGACCCATTGTCTCAGATGGAGGGCTACATTTGGCACAGTGCCCTTCAGAGCCTCCATTTGAGAGGACAAGCATTACTGTGCAAGAATTTCTCCCTCAGTTGTGGACAAGGCTTCAGAGAAAGCATCTGTACTAAAGGCTTATAATGGTAAGTGAACAGTTTATCAATCAGTTCCAAGATATTTAATGCAACATTCCAGGAATTCTTGTGTATTTGCAATATTTATTGACACAGAATTTACAACTTATTCATGTGAGAAGCCATTCCTTAGGCTATGATGGGAAATTCAGATCACAGGCCTCCAGTAGTGTTCATGTTTGGGGCACCTGAAATAATTTAGGGATCTCTTCCTGGGATTTGAATCTTATGTTATGTTAGTTCCATTTGAATTCATGGTTTATTGTGATCACAAGTGATGTAATGTTTAATAAATCCTTTAAGACTCTTACTTTGCCTGTTCTTATGTTACCTTCATGCTCTGTGGTGGTAGATCCACCTTGTATTGTTTGGCATTTGGATAGGACAATTCTTATATCCTATCCAAAGTTTCTTCCATCTGAGGTTCATCTGTCTACAATTTGTCTAAAATTAATTTCAATCTAATGCTGTGTGATTTCTCATTAGAAAGGAAGTGACTGTTGCTTTACATATCTTCAAAATTCTGAATAGATTTTAGGGCATTCACCAATCTGGTTCGTTGATGGTATCAGAGGCTTTGGTAAAGCTATTGCGTGTTTAATTTACTTGTTTAGAAGATTTTATTTTTCTTGTGTTGGAGCCACTGTTCAGATATGCAAAGGGTTTGGCACTCTCTGCAAGGCTTGTAGTAATTTATTTGTTTCATGGTTTGGTAAGTAGAGCCAATCAGGCTTTGATTTATTGTATTCCAAACAAGCCTCTATTAAGTTATAGATAGGTACAATCAATGTATTTGTCGTAGCATCAGCAAATTACAAAAATGTTAAACCAATCATTTCAGATGTGATTTTGTTTTCTTTGAATGTTTTTCAATATCTTTATACATTGTATACTACCTACCTGTGCTTTGATTCTCTTTGCCCTGGCACAAACGTGGAGGTTTTTTTTTAGTATGCATTTAACTTGCCACAATTTGGTGTCCTTATCTTTGGTCTACCATATTATTTCAAATTTAACAAGGGCCTCTTCCAGAATTAACTGAAGATAAATGGACAGTAGGTTGTGGTGGCTAGGTTGTCTGGGGGGAGGTAAAAGGATAAGACTTCTCATTGTCCTGGCTCTTTAATGGTCAAGGGTTGGTGTGCCAATGTTATTCCAACCTACTTATTTGGAAGATAAATAAGTGATGTTTGAACTGATCTACACAGACAGTAATATTTAAAGCATCTGTGAGAGACCATTCAAATAAAAGACCAGAGGAATGGGGACTGAATTTAACGAGTCAAGAGACGAGGTTAGCATTTGGAAGGTGTTAAAAGATAGAGAGAGAGAGAGGGGAGAGACTGGTATTTAAATCATATTTTAGGGTGAATTGATTGATTTGTGCTCAGAAAATTGTAGCAGGTGGTTTGATTTATGAAATGACAGAAGATTTGTGGTTTAGCAGTGTGAGTTGTGCATTGTGTGTGTATATGTGAATGTGTACACATATATAGATATACATAGATTGATTGATGTATTGATTTTGTATAGGTCTCATTCACGAGTGAAATAAATTCCATACTGAATGGTGTATTTCATTTTAAAGTACACGTTTGGTATAAATAAAAAAAACAGAATAAACTATTTTGTGTTCTGCAATATTATAAATGCTTTAATGCTCACGTGAAGTGACTTCTTTTATCAGACTTTTCCTTCTGCTTTGAAACTGATTTTTTTTTAAAAAAAGTAGGGAAATGCAGCCCCTAAACAATTATGATATTGCAAATCTGTCATGGTGATTTTAAATTTCTGGCACTGTGATTTATTTTACCTCTCTCGTAAATTAATTTTATCAGTATCAGCATTTGTCCTTACTACTAACCACCATTTCACTTCAGTTCCATGCCAAACTACAGTTTGTAAGTGCATTTATATTGATAGAAGCATATACGAACACAAATTAAGCACATCTCAATGGCTTGATAAAACGTTATATCAAATGCAAGTATTATTATTATAAATTATTACAATTTGCTTATTTTGGAGAGTTAATGACCAACTTGCGGGGCAGAGTCGGAAATTAGTTTCAATGTGTGCAACTAACTTTAAGCAAATTGGATAGTTGAAGCAAAAAATTATTAAATGGTCAACCCAATCAGCGTTGAAAATAAATATATATTTTGTGTTTTGAAGTTCTGTAATGTATTGATTAGAGCAAGCAAGATTCCCGGGCAGGGCAAAATGTTAGGCAAGTTTCCTTCTCCAAATGCCACTGTTTATCTAGCAGTAAAGTGGACCCCGGTTGTTAGTCGATTGGTGGATTGCTTTTCCAGGGGTAATAATCTCTTCAAAATAAATAATAATAATTTGTTCACTCAATCCACGACTGTTTGTGGGACACGGCTATGCGCAATTGGCCGCCGCGTTTCGCTCACAAAATATACAGTCAATTCACTTTCCAGTACCTTCTGTGATGCGCTTTGAGACATCTCGAAGACGTGATAAGGCACTATGTCAAATGCAAGTATTATTGTAAATGGCCAGTTGGTTGAACTACATTTTCAATTTAACAGTATTACCTTAAAGTTGTTCTATTCAAGTCTATTATGGAAATGGCATCTGGTTTTGGTAGAGTTTAAAGCTTCTGCAGCCTTAAAATTCTAAATGATAGTATACCTTAACTGAACTACATTTCTTTCTTGTCTTTCAGTGATGGCAATCCAAACCTTGAGCATTTAAACATATCCTGGTGTGATCAGGTGACCAAGGATGGGATAGAAGCTCTAGTGAGAGGATGTAATGGTCTGAAGGCCATGTTGTTGAGAGGTTGCACACAGGTTGGTAATTTTGTTATACCAATTTTTCCAAGCATTCTCATCTGAGCATACTAATGAATACACTGTCATACAGATAACAATAACAACTTGCACTCATAAAGCACCCTCCATGCAGGGTAGTGTCTCAGACCGCTTAACGGGGGAACACTTTAAGAATCTGGCACCCAATGGGCCATTTTGGAGTTTTAATATTCGTCAGTATCTAAGAGGACTCCTTAATAGTGGAATGTCCTCTTGGGACTGAGAAGTGAATTCTGTACATTGCATCAACTCCACATTGCTAAGTATATTCAACTCTTATTACGTAACTTTAGTTATTCCTTTCTCATTTGTTCAATATTGGTTCTTGCTGTGAAGACCATTCTAGTAAAAAATAATGGTTATACTGTTTATTGCTTTCAAATTAATCTGTATCTTATTATTTTCCTTGAACAAGATTTATGCAACTTTTTTTAAAAAATGAACGTTTCAACTTTAGAAAGTCATCTATCAATTTTCAACGTTTTTGCTTTCTATGTTGGTCAGTTAACATTTTTGTTACGTGATTTCTCCTCAACATTGAGTTTGAAGTTGTGTACATCTTAATGTGGATCCTTCTTAATACCTATAAGAGTAACAACAGTAGCTATGGGTGACCAGTAAATTGTCACCCACAAAATAGACATTCACACAACTTTATGGTATATCCTGTGAAACGTTTTGAGACGTCGCGATGAATATCATATGCAAGGATTATTACATTTTATAGTGTTTAAGAAATATACAACGTATCTCACTTAGTGTAATTTGAAGAAATCCTTCAAAACGTCTTGGGTTTTCTTAATATTTAGGACCAAGATGAGTTCATATTCCAGTAATTAAACTATATGACTATCCAACTTTAGGATTATATAATTGCTCCTGGCCAAACCAGGACAGAAGCAACTTGGCTGAGGCATCAAAATTCATGCATTAATTTTTAGTGCAAATGATTACTGTTTGGTTATCAAAAGCTACTGTATTTATCATCTGATAAACCTCTGGCCTAAAATGAAACATATCCATATCGAACTGAAATATCTCAGTTTCGATCCCTGGCTGTGCTTAGTTAGTTGATTTCAGGCAGGGCAGGAGTGAGAACTGTACACATTTGCAGAATCCCCCTGGGCCACAGAAGGGAATTTTCTCAGGTTTCTTTCTTCTGACTGCTATCCAGAGATTCCTGCCGCAAAGTGTGCATATCAGATACATGAGAGGACAGGTTAAGGCTTAATTGTGATGCCTCCTAGAATTGAATAACCTGTTGACTATCACTCTCTTTGTTGAAATGTGAAAAATAGCAATAGGGTGGCCTGTGCCATAAAAATGAATCCCGCTTTGAGTTTAAGCCTCCTTGATTGGTCAATAAATATGTTAGCAAGCTGCATTCTAATCAATTAACAGTTTAACTACTGCTTTAATTTTAGCCTTTATCTGTTATTGTAATCTTGCATTTTAATCTTGAACATCTGATATTTTAAAACAAATGCCATTGTAGACTCCATTTTGTTTTTGCAGTTGGATGATGAATCACTGAAACATATTCAGCTCTACTGCCCAGAGCTAGTAACGCTTAATTTACAGGCATGTTCAGTAAGTATCTTGTGGTTTACTCCAGATTTTATGGCATTTATAATTAAAGCTTTCTTTCAAAATACAATTTAGTAACTGAGTTAATTATGGTATTTTTACATTAGAGATTTGCTTCCACTGCTGTAATTAGGAGGAGAATGACTTCCACAGCGCTTGGTGGGGTGGTTGGTGGAGGTGGGGGGGGGAGCGTGACCGTAGGCACGGTTGAATAGGAAGGCGTGACCTGAAGATGGCAAAGAAAGGGGCAAGGCAGAAGGATAGAGGAAGAGCGTTCCAGAGTTTTGCGATGTAGTGGCTGAAAGCACAGCCACCAATAGTGGAACAGAGGGCACGATGGACATGCAGAAGGCTGGAGCCAGTTGAGTGGAGGCAGCGGGTTGTGGGTTGGTCCAGGAGGTATGTAGGTAAGCAGGTCAGAGGGGTAGGGAGGTGCCAGGGCGCAAAGGAATTTAAAAACTAGTGTGGGGATCTTCAAATCGATCTGTTCAGCGATAGGGAGCCAGTGAAGCCTGGCTAGAACTCGTGTGATAGGGGTACGGAGTTTAGTACAGGTGAGTACAACAACAACAAGATTCCATTTATAGAGCGCCTTTCACGTCGGGAGGACGTCCCAAGGCGCTGTACAGTTGGGTCAGGATCCGAGCAGGGGGGAAATGGTCAGGGTGAGGGGAAGGAAGGGAGGGAGCGAGGAGGGGGTAGAGAGTCGAGAGGGGAGCTGAAGGCACGGTCAAAGAGAAAGGTCTTGAGACTGGCCTTGAAGGAGGAAAGGGAGGAGGCGGCGAAGGCACTGGGGGATAGAGTTCCAGAGCCGAGGGGCTGAGAGGCTGAAGGCCCGGCCACCGATGGTAGGGCGGTTGGGGCGGGGGATGTGGAGCAAACCGGAGCCAGAGGAACGGAGGGTACGGGCAGGTAGGTAGGGGGATAGTAGGTCAGAGAGTTAGGAGGGAGCAAGGCCGTGAATGGCCTTGTAGGTGAGGATGATTCTTGAATTCGATCCTCTGGGGGATGGGGAGCCAGTGGAGGTGAGCGAGGGTGGGAGTGATGTGGTCACGAAGCCTGGTGCGGGACAGTACAGGAGCTGCAGAGTTCTGAATGACCTGCAGCTTGTGGAGGGAGGTGCCGGGAAGGCCGACAAGGAGAGAGTTCCCATAGTCCAGTCTTGTGGAGTCCTGTAGCTCAGTGGTTAGAGCACTCGCTTTGCAAGCGAGAGACCTGAGTTCAATTCCAGGCAGGTCAGGGCAAAACCTTGGGCAAATTTCCTTACTCCACACAGAGCCTAATAATAATCCCTCCAAAACAAAACAATAATAAATTGGTCATTTTCAATCTAGGACTGTTTGTGGGACATTGCTGTGCGCAATTGGCTGCTGCGTTTGCCCACAAATATACAGTCAAATATATAGCGCTTTTAAAAGCGCTATATCAAATGCAAGGATTATTATTATTATTATTGAGGTGATAAAGGCGTGGGCCAGTGTTTCAGCAGCGTGAGGGGTGAGGTAGTGCCGTAGTCTGGCGATGTTCCGGAGGTGATGGAAGGCGGTGCCAGTTGTGGTGCGGATATGAGGAAGAAAGGACAGCTCAGGGTCGAACAGAACCCCGAGGTTCCTGATTGGCTTTGAGAGGTGGAGAGTGCAGCCTTGGATGCTGATGGTGTCAGCGCCTGAGGTGCGGAGACACTGACGTGAGTCAATCAGGAGGGCCTCAGTTTTGCGCACTTTGAGCTGAAGAAAGTTGTCTCTCGTCCAGGACTCAATGTCGGACAGGCAGCTGTCAGGACATCGGTGGTCGTGGAGTTGAGGGTAGAGGAGGAAAGGTAGAGTTGGGTGTCATCTGCATACATGTGGAAGTTAACCCCATGTCTGCGGATGATGTCACCAAGGGGGAGCATATAGAGGGTGAAGAGGAGGGGACCGAGGACAGAGCCTTGAGGGACACCGCACGAGACAGTGCGGGGGCTGGAGGAAAAGCCGTTTGTGAGACAGTCTGTTTGCTGTATGGTTGACTTCTCCTGATAGAATCTCGAGCCATTGTGTAATCCATTTGTGCATGGCTTGTGCTATCGTTGACTATTAAATAATAATTTAAATGGATAAATATACTGTTTTAATTACCATAATTTTCAATTGGTCATCATATGGGCATCAATTCTGAATTTTTTAAAAAAAATTAATCTAAGCATTTTCTTTTGTCATTTGAATAAAAAGTATTTGGTCCTATATATTCTGCATTTTATTAAATTTAATTTTTAATTGTTGCTGTATTATAAGACTTTCTGAATATTTGTTGTGAAGTGGGGTTGATTTTAGATTACTAAGAGTGTTATCAGTTTCCTAAGCTTGATTAAGTTACGTGCATCATTGAAGCCATTACCAAAGTCAGTTGATCATTTTTTAAATCCGTTATCAGAATTGTTGTAATTTACTGAAATGTTTACTATTGATAAGGTTAAAACCCATCTCACAATTTGTCAATGGTGAGTTTGTTATATTCTCATCACCAGAGAGGATTTTTAATTAATTTCTAACCAAGAGATTAGGAGTCTTCTTAATTTTAAAACTTTGCTTGTTTTGCAGCAAATCACAGATGATGGTTTAGTAAGCGTTTGCAGAGGCTGTCATAAACTTCAGTTCCTTTGTGTGTCTGGATGTGGAAACATTACTGATGCTTCTGTAACTGCATTGGGACTGAACTGCCCCAGACTAAAGTGAGTATGAATTATCATAATCTGTAGTAAAACTGAATTGAACTCTGTTTTGTGATGAAATCTAAAATTGTTCCTGCTTTCATTATGTGCAGGCTTGAAAATACTTACTCCCTGCTCACTGGACATCCCAGCGTTTCCTTCACAAACTGCAGATTATTTACAACTCTGCAGCTTGTGTTCTCTCCCGCTCCAGGCTTCATAAACCAATCACCCCCATCCCCCGGGGGACATAGTTTAAGATCCTCGTCCTTACTTTCAAAGTCCTCCATGGTCTTGCTCCTCCCTACCTCCAATCTACTAATACCTTACCAACCTTCCTGCTCCCACTTAGTGGGTACTGGGCTGCTCCATGTCCAATCGGCCTTCAGACCTTCTGCCCCCTCTGGAACTCGATCCCAGATTCCCTTCGTCTCGTCCCTCCCTTAGCTCTTTCAAGGCCTGTCTCAAGATCTTCCCCTTAAGCCATGCCTTCAGTCAACTTACAACCCCCATCCCCTATGGCCCCCACCTCTTTCAATTCCAACTGCCAGCTGCAAACCCTTGACTCTCCAGCACCTTGGGACATCATCCCGACATGAGTGGCACTATATAAATGCAATTTGTTGTTGTAATTGTAGCAACAATTCAAAGTAGTCTTTTTAATAACTTGCACATCAGCACTGAAACTGCACATGAACTTACCAAAACAATTTTTTTTTGTAATATTGAATTTCAAGGTAGAGGATATCAGTGTGCCGGTGAATACTTAATGTAAAATTTAAACAAGGCTGACAATGTGCAGTATTAAAATACTGTACTTTCATACATAAAGAGAAAAATATGCTGGAATTCTGAAATAACATTTTTAAATGGTGGATATTCACAGCAAATTAACCAGCAAGAGTACAACCCTTCTTCAGGGCTGAAATAGTGGGCTGCAAAAGCTCCTTAAGTGGATAAGAGGACAAGGTGAGAGGGGGGAAAAAAAGTTAATAATGCACACAAAGGCAACTGATGGTTCATTAGCAATTGTGAAGCGTAAACAGTCATTATGGAAAAGACAAAAAATGAGTAAGACAGCAGTAAGAAAGCATCAAATTCCTGTATAACTATTAAAAAGCAAAATAAATCTGTGATGAAGTGGAAAAATGATGGGGATGAGAAGAAAATAAGAAGGTGCAAGTTGTGCAGTATAATGATGTGCAACAGATTTGATATATAGCTTTCATGTTTTTGGACTGAGATTAGAATTGGTTTATGAGAGCTGCGTTATTCTTTCAGGATCTTGGAGGTAGCACGGTGTTCACATTTGACAGATGCTGGTTTTACAATATTAGCCAGGGTAAGTGTCCTGGGTAAAATCTGGCTTTGGTTTGCAAAGTTTTAAATATTTTAGTTATGAGATCTATAGAATACAAAAATATCTGAAAATTGAGGATCATCTTTCCACTATTAAGATAGTTTAGGATACAGTATACACAAACACTAACACTGGCATTGTAATTGTTGGAATACTGCAGAATAGTGAATAAGCTATCTTCTGCTCGCAGGATTCAAACTTAGTCAAAGTCATTATCCCTGGCCACTGAAGGCCAGCAAGCATGGTGAAAGGTTTGGGCCCAGTCTGACGTGCTCCAGAATCCAATAAGACAGGGGATTACTATATTGTGTATATTGTATTGTGCACATGTATATTATGTATCTTTAAGCCAGGTGCGTATAATTAACATCCAGTGAAAAATATGTATTATGTCATTAACAATCATTTTCTTATTACCTCTATGCACAGGCACTTAAGATGATTTATAATACGTTTGCACCTAGTTTACACATAGTGCATATGATGTTCATATAATATTACATATATATAATATGTGTATACTTTATCCTTAAATATCTTTATAATGGAAGGAGGTCTTTTTAAATTTTTAGCTTGCAACACAAGCCTAAAACAATTTTAATAGTTCTATCAAAATGCGAGGAATTGAAGATTATAAGCGTATAAATGTTTGCTAATGTTCTGAAACTTATATTCCACCAGTCACGGTGACTGAATAATGAGTAATTTTACTTAAATTTAAGAGGATCACAAAAGGGGAAAAAAATGTTTGGTTTGAATGTGGAATTCTCTGCCAGGAATATAAAGGATATGAGGAGAAAGCATGAGAATTGGATTGGATTCTTTTAGGGTAAATCATGTGGGAATAAACACCAGTACAGATGTTATGGGGAAAATGACTCGTTTCTGTCCCATAATATTCTGTGATTCAAATGCCATATGTTGAAATATGTTCCAGAGCTGTCATGAACTTGAAAAGATGGATCTGGAGGAGTGTATTCTGGTAAGGATATTATTATTTGAGTCGTTCTACAGCAATCTGGACTCTTTAATGATAGACTTTTTATTGTACCTGTTCTGGTGTTAAAGCTAAAACACTTTTTTTGTACTTTGTGGAGAGACTGAGTGCATGGACAAGACAGAAGCCTTGGCTCCCATTAACGTCTTCTCACCTGTGGTTCTGAACTCCTTAAACTTCCTGCCTATCTCTCAGACTCACCAAACCCATACACCTCCCTCGCATCAGGTTTAATCCCTAGTTATCCTTCCTACCCCACATCCATCCCTGAAGCAGGACTGCCTTCCGCCACCTCTGCCATGACCCCTTCTTTGACCCTATCTTATTTCAAATCCTGCTGAAACGCTTTTTTAACAAAATATATATTTATTTGTGGATATATATTTACCCTTTTCTCAGAAAATCTCAACACCCATCATAGAGGAAAGTACAACATGTTATTATCCCATTACAGGACACAATAGACTTTGCCCCTTGTGGCTGGGGGATGGGGGTACGGAGGTTTGCCTGTGCGCGCTCCACTTAGCTGGAGGGACCAAAGCTTCCTCGACTCGGGGTTCTGCCGCCCTTTGCAAGGCACAGTTGCAAGTGGGGTCTTGAACCCCCCCCCCCATCCTCTGCTCTCTTAGTGAGGAGTGCAGACAGGTTCACAGCACACAGGATGTGCACACATTCATGCTTTCATCACATCCTGGCTCGATTTTTCTAATCCACTTGATCTTAAATTCTCCACTGCTCGCATTCCCATTCACACCAAACTCCTCAAGCCTATTATCCAATTCTAGCCAAGCTCTATCGGCTCCCAGCAGATCAGTTTCATGGTTGTCACTTGCCTATAAATTCCTTCTACCCACTCCTCTGTTTGCTCCCTCCACTCGACAAACTAATACTTGCTGCTTATCAATTTCCTTATGTTTCGTTAGTGGCCCTAATGTTGGGAACCCCCTCCCTCCATCATGCCCCTCTCTTTAAGTCCTGCCTTAAAACCAACCTCTCAACTGCCCCTATGTGGCCACCTTTTCCTCTCCCCATCTCCCTTGCTCAGCGTTCAACACTATCTTTGTACAGTGTTCCGAAGCATTAACCTTGAATGGTACTATATAAATGAAAGCTTTTGTTACACAAGCAATCTGCAACAATTGTAACCATAGCTTACCTGCAATGGATGACAACAACAACAACAAAATTACATTTGTATAGCGCGTTTCATGTTGGGAGGACGTCCCAAGGCGCTGAACAGACAGGGTTTCAGGCCCGAACTGTGGCTTGGGATTGAAGAGGGTGGAAGGCAGGGGGGAAGCAGGGTGATCAAAAGTACAGTCGAAGGAGAGTGTCTTGAGATGGGTCTTGAAGGAGGCAAGGGAGGATGTGGAGTGATTGCAGGTTGGAGTTCAAGAGGATGGGGGCAGAATGGCAAAGGCCCGCCCGCCAATGGTGGGGCAGGTGAGGCGGGGGACATGAAGCGAGACGGAGCCCGCTGAGCGGAGGGAGCAGGCAGGATGGTAGGGGATTAGGAGGTCGCAGAGGTAGGAGGGAGCAAGACCATGAAGCTGATGACCAGGCTCTTGAACTGTATCCTCTGTATGATGAGAAACCAGTGGAGTCGGGCAAGCATTGGAGTGATAGGGTCATGGAGGCTGGTGCGAGACAGGACACCAGCTGCAGAGTTCTGGATGATCTGCAGCCTATGGAGGGAGGAGTTGGGGAGGCCAACAAGCAAGGAGTTTGCATAGCCAAACCTCAATGTAATGAAAGCATGTATGAGGGTTTCGGCAGCCTGTGGTGTGGCGGAGGTGGGGGAAGGCAGAGTGGGTCATGACATGGATGTGTGGTAGAAAGGAAGGATAGTTGAGGGTCAAACAAGACACCAAAGTTCCGGACTGAATTAGTGAGGTGGAGTGTGCATCCTTGGATGGTGATGCTGTCAGTGCCTGAGGTGTGGAGGCGTTGACGGGAGCCAATCAGGAGAGCCTCGGTCTTGTTGACGTTCAACTGAAGAAAGTTAGCTCTCATCCAGGACTTGATGTCTGACAGACATTCTATCAGCACAACAGTGGTCCTGGAGTCGAAGGTGTAGGCAGAGAGAGAGAGTTGGGTGTCATCCGCATATATGTTGACCCCATGTCTGTGGATGATGACACCAAGGGGGAGCATATAGATATTTAAGAGGAGGGGATCAAGGACAGAGCCCTGAGGAACACCGCATTAGATGGTGCAGGAGCTAGAGGAGAAACCATTTGTGGAGATGAAGTGGAGGTGGTGTGAGAGGTACAATCTGAACCAGTCAAGTGCAGAGCCGTGAAGGTTGAGGTGAGAGAAGAGGTGGTGGATGAGGATAGAGTGGTGAATGTTGTTGAAGGAAGCAGAGAGGTCGAGGAGGCAGAGGGAGCCCTGCTTGCAGATGTAGAATGTCATTTGACCAGAGCTGTTTCTGTGCTGTGGGCGGTACGGAAACCCGATTGGAGGGGTTTGTGAAGGGAGTTGCGGGAGAGGAAGGAGCGAAGCTGGGAAGCAACAACTCCTTCCAGGACCTTGGAAAGGGAGGTTGGAGATGGGGCAGTAATTTGAGAGCAGTCATGGGTCCAGGGAGGGTTTTTTGAGGTCAAAAGTGATGACGGCCATTTTTAATGGGGTGGGAACAGTACGAGTGGACAGGGAGAGGTTTATGATGTCTGTGAGTAGAGGGACAAGGAGGTGGAGCTGGGAGGTAAGGAGAGGGGTAGGGATGGGGTCGAGGGAGCAGGTGTTTGGTTTCATGTGGGTTATAGTGGTGGTGAGAGAGGAGTGGGAGATAAGTTCAATAGTGTGGAGGGTGGGATGTGTAGGAGGGAAAGTGGAAGGGGGTCTTAGACGGATGGGCAGAGGCAGCTGAGCGGATCCCCTCAACTTTGGATTCGAGGAAGTCCAGCATTGCCTCGCAGTTGGCATTGGAGGTGAGGATGGGCAAGATGTGGAGAGGGTGGACGGAGGAATCGGGTTGTTTTGGCCTCCAAGGTTGTCTTGGAGTAGAATGACGATTTAGTGGAGGCGAGGGCGGTGGTAGGATTTGATGAGGTCCAGCCAGATCTGCCGATGGACCATTAAGTCCGATGAACCACTTCATCTTCCACCTATGATTAGCGCTCTGGGATGCTATCCTGCATGAGGGGTGCTGTATAAATGCAAGTTGTTGATTATTCAATATTTGTATCGTGCTTGCACTAAAGTATGCCATGAGGGGAACGTTTTTGGAAATGGCCATTGCCTTTGTATGACACAAAAAAGAGTAACCAACATCCACTTGAAATAGTTGGCAGCTCTTACATAACGTTCACTTAAAAAAGGTTCCTTGACTGTTCTTGAGAGGCCCAAATAGCCAAGGGCCACTCAAGAACTTTGAATGCAGTTTATTTGGGTGCAATAGATTTGCACTTACTGCAATTATATTTGAACAGTGTGAATTGATATGCTGCCAGAGCAATTTGTTCCAAAAGCGCATCGCTCACCCCTAATTTACATTCCACTTTTCGCAGTGAATTGTGCAAAAAAAAACACAGTATAAAAACAACATCAATGTTGTTTGGCTTCACACGGGGAGGGAAATAATTTATATTTATACAAAGACATAATTAGACCAATTCAGAATACCTTATTCAGCTTTGGTTACTATGAAGGATTTTATAGCAATGGAAAGCATGGCAGCATAGATTCATTAGGGTGATACAGCTATCAAGAAAGCTATTATGCAATATTTAGTTTGAGTTTTCTCTCTGAAAATTAGATAATTGAGCCTGATAAACATGTTTAAAATTCTGAAAGGATTTGAAAAGGTGCACATTAGTAGTCGTTTTCCACTGGTCAGTGAGTCCAAAACAAGGGGACATATAAAGGTAACCACAAGCAGTTCTGTAAAGAAGTTTAAGAGGAACTTCTTTAAATGTGATTTGTTGTTGTTGAGAGTGTAGAACTTGCTACTGGAATATGTGGTTAAAGTAGAGGAGTACGGGAAAATAAATTAGGAAGGGTAGAGGCTCATATGGAGAAATAATAATAATAAATCTTGCATCTGATTTAGAACCTTATCACATTGTCTCAAAGTGCTTCATTGTATATATTGTAAAGTGAATTCGCTGTATATTTTGTGGATGAAACGCAACAGCCAATTGTGCACAGTAGCGTCCCAGAAAGTCGTGGATTGAGTTAAATATTTATTTTTTGGAAGGATTATTACCCCTGGAAAGTGATCTGCCAAGCGCTGAACATCCGGGTTCTACTTACTGCTAGGTAAACATAGGCGTGGTGTAAGGAAACGTGCTTAAGGCTTCTCCCCTCCTGGGAATCAAACCTGGGCTAACCACAGCCCTACAGGACCCGGTATAAACTCACTGGGCGAAGTGGCCTGCTTCTGTGGTACATAGTCTATGTAATATCATTGTTTAAAATGTCCACTATGTCTTCTCCAGGTATGTAATGAAAGTATTTCAGGGATAACCGAGACCTTTTATTCACTGTATGTTCAGATGCTTTTATTGGTTGAATTACCCCAGTATTGTCTAATAGTTTATATATAAATTTGTTAGAAGGAACTCTTTGTTGGTACTGAAAATATATTTTTCACCAATTTATAACTTTATATGTCTCTAAAAAAATTGTTTTGTTTGAAAAATATCTTTGTACCTCCCTATAGATCACAGACAACACGTTGATTCAGCTGTCTATTCACTGCCCTTATTTACAGGCATTGGTGAGTTGATAGATTTTGTAATTCCATCATTTCAATTGTATATTAGGTTTTTAGACTTTTTTTCTACGTTATGGAAAGGGATGAGGATGTATGATGGAGATTTCTATCACTTCATCCACCTATCTATCCATCTGGAAACACTTATATAACCTGAAAACTTAACTTTGACCAAGATTGTTTGAATTAATGTTTCATTATTTTCAAGAATGGCCATTTTAGGAACTGACCATGTGTTTTGTTGAGATTTTTATATTAAGTTATGAACTTGATACAATAATATGTTCTTATATAGCAAGTTATGTCTGCAGAATCATATTGGCGAAGGGGAGTAATTTACAGCAAAGACTTAGTTATACTGCAAGCAGTTTCTATTGGGGTGTTTTTGATTGAGAGAAGTTTTGAGTGTGGCTCACTGTTTTGTGTGCCTTTAGGAAAATCCAAACTGCAATTGTTGAATGTGTAACCTTTGATTTGGATTTGTAGTCCAAATATATTTTGATCAGTAATTGATGAAAAAGAATATTTCTTATAAGAAACCTTTCTTTGCCTTTGGATAAAAAAGGGTCTAATTTGTGAGATTCGCAAAATAATTTATAGATAATTAATCCTACGGGCAATTACCTCAGATGTGTCAGGCCTGAACCTATGGAACTCTGCTCAAACACTGATCAAAGTTTCAACTGCCTGAGTTTGAGTTACTGCATCCTCAATTTACAAATCTTTTGCAAATCTTGCAAATTCAGTTCCAATGTACTAAAGTATTACTGTTCAGCAGTCTTTTAATCTTTCAGATGAAAAATGTTGCCAGGTCTAGGTGCAGATGAAAAAATAGTCTAACCTTTTTCTTGAATGTGCAACTACAAGTGCTTTCCACTAGATGGCAACCTAGACTCTTAAGTGAAAAAATGTAGGCACACAACCAATGGTATTCTGCTCTTAAAACATGAAAAGGGTGAGCAACGGTGTTGGTTTAGGAGCCATTTATGAAATGTGCATAAAATAAAGTTTAGAGAAAGAAGGCAAAAGAATTGTTGCAAAATAAGTTTTTTTTAGAAAAAAAGGTTTCATCCATTTTCATCGATAGCCTGAAAGCACGGACTCAGAATGATGTCAGTATACAGGTCTAAATGTACTGGTTGTTTCCCAGAATCTTATCCAAATGGCTGTTTTTCACCGGTGAGCTTAGACAGCCACCTCAGTCATTGGGGCCATCATTAGATGAGTATGATTCTGTCCTGATTGACTTGTCCACACCCACATTTTACAGGACAAGTAAATCGATGGTGATTAGGAGTGGGCTTTGTTGTTCCTCCTCTTACAAACCTAGACTGAGGTTAATTACAGTGCCCCCTAGTTCAGTTAATGTAACACAGACAAGGAGATCAAAGGTGGTAGCTCCTTGTGTTGTGACGCACTGCTCCATTACCAGGTAATGTATTTAACATGCCAGATGAACATTAAACCTGGCTAATTGAGTGCTTGATATTCTGATCCTATAGTTAGCTGAAATGGTTATTTATTTGATGTAATCTGGATCACTATTGCCCAGGTACTTTATTTATAAATATTCTCAACTGTTTCACAACAGAGAAATTTTGGTTTGTAGATGAGGTTCAGCTTGGTGTGCATCCCTTTGAATTTTTATTTGGTGTCTCCTATCTCTTGAGTTTGGGTAAAGCATTCATCTGGTATGTAAGAAAGGTCTGTGAAGAAAAATGTTCTGAAACACTCGTGAGGCCAGTATATATGATGCAAACAAACGGATGGTACTGATCTCCCTGGTATATTTTTAAAGCGGAAACATTTATGTTCATGTCTTGGTTTTTGTCTTGCAGAGTTTATCTCACTGTGAATTAATTACGGATGACGGTATTCGCCACCTAAGCAACAGTCCATGTGGCCATGAAAGACTCGAGGTTGTAGAACTTGACAATTGTCCCCTCATTACCGATGTGACCCTTGAACACCTGAAGAACTGTCATAACCTCGAAAGAATAGAGTTGTATGATTGTCAACAAGTCACTCGGGCAGGAATCAAAAGAATTCGGGTAAAAACATTTTTTAATTTTTAGAGTAAAACAAGACTTGCTCAATGATTCTAGGAGGAAATGTAACAGGAAAAATGCCAAGCAAAAATACCAGGTTTGTTTGGTCTGAGTTGCTACATCTTGCGGGCAATGCTGCAGTTGCCTCAGCTTTTAAGAGCTTTAACCCAGGTCCCTGTGAGCAGACTGAAACAAAGACTGTTTAGTAGGAGAGATCTCATTGAAATGTTCAGGATTCCATGGGGGGAACCGAACCCAACTGATGCTTCATATGACCACAAATTTACCACAAAGACTGAGTTTGACAAAGTCTTGTTAGCCTGGCTCAGTTGGTAGAACTCTTTCCTGAGTCAGAAAGTTTGGGGTTTGAGCCCCATATAGGGACTGGCCTCAGTCTCGGCTCATACTGCAATAGAGTGCTGGGGGTGCACTGCTAATTTAGAGATACTGACCTTCAGATTAGATGTTAAAATGAGATCCCGTCTGCTTGTTCAGGTGGATAGTGAGATCCCTTAGGCACTATTAGAAACAGGTCCTGCTTAAATATTTGATTGTACCAGTAAACGTACAGCTTTTTGTGATTGATTGTGCAACTAGAAGACTTAACACTTAACTGTATTTATTTTTCTCTTTTAGGCCCATCTTCCAGACATAAAGGTTCATGCTTATTTTGCCCCAGTTACCCCACCACCATCAATGGGTGGTAGTGGACAACGTCTCTGCAGATGCTGTGTTATCCTTTGACATCAAGCTTTCACCTCAAAAATGTTGTTCAAAATTAATACGGCGATGGTGGTGATTTGAGACTCCTAATTAGGGTAAAACTCTTGGCAGATATCACTACACCACTCCATTACGTAACTGCAAGTCAACCTTGTTGTTACTGGCAAGGAAAATGGAGGGGGGGAAAAAAAGGTCTAAATCCAGACCTAGAGTGAAAGGGGAAGTCTGGGGGAGGGGTCTGTGAATGTAGAATGAAAATTCATCCATATTGTTAATGCTTCCATTGAATAAACTCCATATAAATGCTTCATTCCTTCCCCTCCACGTTACGTTCAAAGTGATGACCTTTGTGTGACAAATTCAGTGTTTGGTAAAATTACAGACTGCGTGGCTAAGCAGTTGCATTGTAATGTGTTGGGTATTTGAATATGCATGTAACTGATTGAAAATAAATTTGGTTAATGGGGCCCCAGACAGCAGCCTATCACAAAAAGGTATAAAGTTTGGGATCATTCTTTGGAATGAAAAATGTTGTTTCATTTTCAGATTTGATGTAATATAATTATAACAAATCTGTTATGAAGCTTCACATTTTCACCATTTATTTCTATGCGTACAGCAGTGTTATTAAATGAAAGGGTGTTAGTTTGGTGGCACTATATATTAAAAGTGGTTAGGTTAACATAGTAACAAAACTGCACTTTTTACATTATCCAGTACGTGAGAGGTGTTGCATTTTTCATTTTCAGAACATTGTACTTGATTTAGCAACTAAATGTGTTGGACATCTTGTTTAAACAGGATACAAATCAGTTGTACTTTTGTGTGAAAACATAATTTGTTGTGTGTCTAAAGCAACTTGAAATATTTAGCTTGATCTGAATATGAATAAGGCATGATTTGTTTCTAGGACTAACCCTGATTTTAAAAGCTCAATTTGCATACTGCAATAGAGAAATGTAATTTTTGATACTAACATTAAAAGACAATATGTAGTAGTCAGAAAATGGCTGTTTTCTGACCATCTTTGCAGAGGGAACACTGTACAGGCTGTGTTAGGCAGTACGTGTTAGCATTCCCTTTATGTTCTAAATTTAACCATAGTAATAAGACCTGACAATCTGAATATATGTTCATTCAACTTTACCTGGAAAACAATTATTTTTTAAACCCGTCTGATCAAGACAGAGAAAACCTATGTCCCAAATATGAATAATGGAGAATTTAGAGATTTATAGAAATGGCACAAAATTGATTATTTCTTATCCAATGTTGTATTTATAACAGCTCTTTTCTGTGTATCTTATTACAATTTGAATCATACTGCTAAAGTGTAATTTAAAGATATGGAATAAACTCATAATTACTGTTTCCTTGTCCAGGGTTTGTCTGCAGTGGGAATTAATAGTCGTGTGTGTGTGTGTATCCAAATTTAAAATAGTTATATCCTTGTAATAAACACTGGGAATCGCTCTTTAGTTTTCACAAAATAAGGATGGATATATACCAGCAATCTCTACATTTATTTTTTATATATGTACAGCAAAAGCAATAATAAAATAATGAATACAATTTTAAAAAGGAATGTATTACGGACAAATGGTTTTACTTTCCAAAAAGTTTTTTTTTTGAGATGCAGGGCACTACAATCAGACCTCTGGCTTTGTTTCTCTCCTAATGAAATCTTCTCAGTGGTGACCTGCTCTTTGGCCCAAGGCCTTAGATTCACTTATGTCCCTAGAATGAATAATGGAGAATTTAGAGATTTATGGAAATGGGACAAAACTGATTATTTGTGTTTTAACAGCTTGGACTTAACCCCATGGTGAGACTTTGAACCCAAACTATTTCAGAGGTCTGCAAACACCTTTACAAAGGCCTTTGATCTTAACAAACCATGTGTTGAAGTTCAGTTTGGGACTTCAAAGTATTCAATTCTAGTAGAGTATTAAAGAATTTGGCCATTGTCTGTGGACAACATGTTTGGTTCTCTTCACTCCCATCACACTTACACATGAGCATGAACAGTTAGAAGCCAATCATCTTTAAGACACCACCGACCCACAGTTTGCTCCAACTGCTGGATTTGTTTTACACATATAGTGGCTTGATACCTTTAGTTTTATAAATTGTCATACCAGTAAGATAGGATTTATGTTTGCATAAATAGGCATAAACATTGCCTATTTATGTTGACAAATAAGAATTTCAGGGCCCTCTTGCTACTTAAAAATCTAAATTTGTTTCCCAGTACCCAATATTTCACGAGATTTTCTCTCAGCTTTCATTTTTGTCAGTGATATTTTCAATGTACAATTAAAGGTATACATCTGTGTACATCCTGAAATTAACTAACTTCTTTTGATTTATTCTCTTTGTAACTAGAGGTCTAAACTGGACAACTGGAGAACAGAAGAAACTAAAAGGTTTGCATGGACAGCAATGAATGGTTTAAACGTGCTTATTTTTCATTTAAAGGAAGACTTCTTTCATAATTACAATAGAGGATAATCCTTGCATTTGATACGAGTACCTAATTATGTTGCTGAAACTTCTCAAAGCACTTCACAGGACTTCAATGTTATTCCAGCTTGGCCAGAGAGAGGCAAAATTGTTTTTCGAATTTTTGGGCAACTTTCAGGTTCAAAAATTGCATTGCCAAGAACGTATCAAAAAAGGATTCCAGTAAAAAGTACAAGAAAATTATGGCAAAATTGTCCTGCAGTGTGACTGCACCAACAATGCAAACCTCAGGGTTTATTTAGCAGTCTGTTTTACAGGGTATTATAGGGTTAGGAAAGAAAAAGAAATTCAGAGATAAACCATTTTATTAGACCATATAAACCATTATTTAGAGGCAGATAATGTTGGAATATCGAGAAACAGATAGGACATGTAGAGGTAAAAAGAGTGTCAGCCTGACAGGGTGTCAGGGTTTATGCAGCCTGAAGCAGATAAATCTCCAGGTCCCAATGGGGTGCACCTGAGATGAAATAATAAAGGCTTGGCTTATCATTTTCAAAAAGTCTGTAGCTACAGGGGTTGTCCCAGAGGTCTGCTGAGTGGCAAAAGTTTTTTTTAAACGCAAGGTAAAAGGATGAATTAGTGAACTGGAACCACTGAGTCTCATGTCAGTTGTAAAGAAGCTGTTTGAGATCATAATCTGGGATGTGATTATGTCAAAACATTTAGAAAAGATGGCATTGATAAGGAACACACAGTATGATTTTCTAACAGGCAGCTCGGATCTGACTGAATAATAGTAATCCTTACAGTTATTCGGTGACTTTTATGACCAGAGGACATCCCAAAGCACTTCACAGGATTTACTGTTCAGTGGAGTAACTGTATTTTACAAATAGCTATGAAGTGAGTGACAATTTTATTTAGGAGATTGTTGGCCAGGACACCTGGAGAAATTCCCTTCTCTTTTCAAATAATGCGGTAGGATCTTTAACATCAACCTTAACAGGCATACGGGTAGGTATCTTGGTTTAACATCTCATCTGAAGGATGACACCTCCAACAATGCAACACGTCCCCCAGCATTACATTTGGAGTGTCAGCTTAGACTATGTGAGTTCAAGTGCCAACATGGGGCATGAACCTACAGCTTTCTGACCCAGAAGCGAGAGTGCTACCACTGGGGAAGGTGTCTGAAAAGGCACAGTCAAAGAGATGGGTCTTAAGGTAGATTTTGAAGGGAGAGACAGTATAGGGAAAGTGATGGAGGGCTTTTTAGAGGAGCAAACACTGACATGAAAAAATGGGTTTCAAATGGCCTTCAACTGGGTCATCCATTTTTAATGATTTGCTTAGCTGTAAAAGGACCAATCACATTATCCAACTAGCAAAGGTTAATAAACCACTTCATAGATCTGCAAGTGCAGTATGTGTGTATTTGCATTTACTGTTTTGTGTGTAAAATCACACACAAAAGATGCATTCTTCATTTTAAATTGTGATCATTCACTGGTAACCTCTAAGTATTCTTACATTGTGATATAACTTATTTCACAGGACATTTCAAAGGATTTACAGTGAAGGGTGTAGGTGAATGCATTAGACAATTTGAGCACAGTAATATTCTATAAATAGCCATGACAAATTTGGGCAGGATACCAAGATAAACATCCTTTTTTCAAATAGTGCCAGGGGATTTTTAACATTCACATGAACTGGCATCAATTTAATATCTCCATCTGAATAATGAACATACAATACTTGCTTTTTAGACAGCACTTTTATCATATCCTAGAGATGTAACAGAATTTATACTGTAAAGTGTTGTGACTATATTTTGTGGGCAATAAAGAAAAACTACCAAGCAAGCATTACCTAAAGTTAGCAATTGGGACACTCAATCTTTATACAGTCCTAACATGAGACCGAAGGAGTCATTTAGTGTAAATCATCAAGAGCAATTCCTATTTACCTACGAACAGTGAACAAGCATCATAAAAATTACTTCCTGGAACAGCGTACATCAGTCAGTCTAGCCAGACTGCTCTGAGGAGATGGACAGTGAATTATGTAAATGTCAACTACACAAAAAGCAAACACACTCAGCTAATTAACAGGAGAATAGTTGAACATTCTCTTGACAATTCAGTGCGAAATGTGCTACATAATGAAATATTGAATCATACAATCCAATACTGCACTAAATGTGAGTTTAGGGACATAACTTAATCAGAACTGCAGACAAACCAAGGCTATAAGTACTGTATCCTATTGGCCCTTAACCCATGTGCAAGCTAACTGAACAAGAAATGTAAAGGTGAAATCCTATCACGACGCCATTGTTCTGCAACACTATCATATTGTGTCATTTGAGGTTTAAATGTAAGTAAATTTAACACTTTACACAGTTAAAGAGACATTTACAAAAATGATTTGAAAACTTTATTACAGAGGTAATGTGAATGCTTGTACATACCATAATAAGATCTTAAAGCCGGTGTAACAAAAGTTGCTGGTGCTTATTCTAATCACAAATTAAGTAAAACATAATACTATTTGGACATTACCTATGGCTGTTTTGCACCAGTGTACCTACATTGCAATCTGAAATTCCATGCCAGGAGCTTCTTTGTCTCCTGTTTTATTTTCAAGCAATTCGGAAGGCCAGGTTAAAGTTGACATCTACACTAAGAAGTCTTTTCCATGGTGAAAAATATTGACTTGTGCAGGACCCGACAAAAAAAACATTGATTGTCAAATGAAAATTACAATCCCTTAAAACCCATTGAAGGGTAAGTGAACAATATTGATTTTGTTCACATATCAGTGCAGTGAGATTTGGTCACAGAGGCACAGTTATGACAAATCCAAAAACAAGTTATAGGACAAACTACATTTAGATGCCATTTATAAAAGCGCAATATTTGAATGCACATTTACAAATTTATAAAATATTTAACTGCTGAACATTTCTTTCCTCTAATCTAAAAGCAAATCTCAGTCGCTAACAAAACTGAGCAGCTGCTGTTTCTTTCACAGCAGTCCTTTATTTACAGTTAAAAGGTTTGATTTAGAATTGAACGCTTTAAAATAAAAGCTGTTCAAAAGCAGAAATGAGAACAAACTCCACAATTAAGGGCTGTTGCTTTAAAAAAAACTACTCTGGCCTTACAGAGTGAAAAGAAAGTTCAAACATGTGCAAGCTGCAAATTTAAAATAAACAAATGTGCTGATTTCACAAAATAACTGAATTTATACAACTTTGCTTTTTTTCTTCCTAGAATGCAGCAGGCTTCTATGGAGACCTTGCAGAAACTGCTCCCAACCGGGCACGTTGAGAACTGGTATATAGGCAGTAAAACGCATGGCGGCACATGAAGTAAAAGGCAAACATATAAAATAACATGGCAAACACACCTTAACAATCTCAACCAATAATCAAGACAGGCACGATGAAGCATAAGTGCTTCACAAAGAGACAATTATTGTGCAAAACTAGATCTACTGGCCATTTTTTCCTCCTCTCATGAGTTACGAAGACCACTTTGAATCATAATTTCTGGGCCTTCCAGGCCTACCATAGAGCTTGCTGCAGCCTTAGATTATTCAGGGAGGGTGCTGATTGGTGGCAGTGATATTCCCAGAAGTTTTAACTCCACAGTAAGGTAATTCGACAGTCAAGCTGCGTTTTCAATATGAAACATTTTGTACAGTGAAGTCAGATTCTAACATTTACATGATTTGTTTAATGTCCTTTTCTTGACATAATAAACGTACCTTCAATACGCAAAAGCATAGTCTAGATTCATTGTTATATTGGACAGGTTACTTCAGTATCACGTGGTGGCCTTCACCATTTTCAGCTGCAACAAAAAGAAACAAAATGTTCTGTGCTGTCAATTTGGTTTAAAGCAGAAACATGTAGTTGAAGGGAAATATACATTACCTTTCACAGTGCTGATTATAAAACAACTTTCATCTTGGAGATTTTGAACCATCTGCAAGACAATAAACCATTTCCAGAAAGTGCGAGTAACATTTATTTAAATACTTAAAACACTGACTCGTTTGGTGTAAATGCTTGTCCAAATGAATGGATGATAGTTTTGGGACAGGTACTTTTTTAAAAAATACTTTCACAACAGGCACACCTGGACAATGCATAGAAGCAGAGTAAGCTTTTATTGTTTTCTAGTTAATCCCAACCTTTGACTAGATACTGGAACGAGAAGACAGGTCATTGAGGTAGGGCAGAGCAAATTGTACCCTATCATCTAGTCAAGTTATCTTGCCCTTCATAATGTTGCTGTTAGAAAACAGTTATAAAACTTTTAAAGGAACTTTTCCAGTTTCATATTGGTATTCTGATTCAAAAGAAATAACAGTAAACTCCGGATAATTCATCACTCTGAAGTGAAAAGAGCTCAAGCGATGAGTTACCCAGTGTGGCGAGCTAGGTATAGGCCTCCTGGGCCTCTGGGTCCAGTGCAGATTGCATGGCAGAGGTTGGGCACTCAGATACATTACAGATGTTTCTGGTCTATTTGGAGGGCTGTCCTGTGGCCACCTTTCATAAGATAGGGCAGGAAGTGGCACAGTAGACAAGAGGCCTCTGCAACGCAGCTAACTACTTGGGCCCAAACACTGCTGAACGCCCACACAACGTAAGAACTATCAATGAAAAAAAGACCAAGATCCATCTAGTTCACCTTCCTGGTGCTCGTGTGCACATGTGTCCCAAACTACCTATGTACTATATCCCATAAGGCTATTTCCTAAAAGAAAACGAATCTGTGTTTGAACCAATCAACATTTCTTGCTTCAACAGTCTCCCTAGGGAATCTGTTTCACAGGTTTACTATTCGCTCACTGAAATACTGTTTCCATAGATTATCCACCTTCAACCGCAGGCTGTCTCCTCTGGTTTTATTATTCAGGGCTAGTTGAAACAATGTGATCTACATTGTCTAGCTTCTTTAGCATCTTAAAGACAGTGGTTAGAGCACTCGCTTTGCAAGCGAGAGACCTGAGTTCAATCCCAGGCAGGTCAGGGCGAAACCTTGGCCAAGTTTCCTTACTCCACACGCCTAATAATAATCCCTCCAAAAACAAAAACAATAATAAATTGGTCATTTTCTATCTACGACTGTTTGTGGGACATTGCTGTGCGCAATTGGCTGCCGCGTTCGCCCACAAATATACAGTCAATTCACTTTACAGTGTTCTGTGAAGCGCTTTGGGACGTCCTCCCGACGTGAAAAGCGCTATATCAAATGCAAGGATTATTATTATTATTATTAATCGTATTGCCTCTCAATCTCTAATTTACTTAGTCGCTCCTCATAGTCCAGTCTCTCCATCATTGTGTTTGCTCTCCCCTGTATCCTCTCGATTACTCCCATATCCGTTTTGTACTACAGGGACCAGAACTGTACAGTAGTCTAAGTACAGTTTCATCAATGATTTATACAGTGGCAGGATTGCCCTACTATTTCGCTTTATTCACTGCCACAGAGCATTGTAGTGAGAGCTTCAATTCAGTGGTTAAAGCACTCGCTTTGAAAGCGAGAGACCTGAGTTCAATTCCAGGCAGGGCGAAACCTTGGGCAAGTTTCCTTACTCCACACACCTAATAATAATCCCTCCAAAACAAAAATAAATTGGTAATTTTCAATCTATGACTGTTTGTGGGACACTGCTGTGCGCAATTGGCTGCCGCGTTTGCCCACAAATATACAGTCAATTCACTTTACAGTGTCTTCTGTGAAGCGCTTTGGGACGTCCTCCTGACGTGAAAAGCGCTATATCAAATGCAAGGATTATTATTATTATTGTCAATCAAACCAAGGTCCTTAACATTTTCCATACGTATTATTTCCCTTCTGTTCAAATAATAGTTCCTTCCTGGATTTTTTGTCCCCATGTGAAGTACTTTACATTTCTCCACATTGAATTTCATCTGCCACTGGTCCACCCAATTCCCAAGAATGTTCAATCCACCTGTAACCTATCTCTTGTTCAGCTTCACAATCTACAACCATCATTAGCTTGGTGTCATCTGCATTGTGCTTGAGACTCCGAGCTCCAGATCATCTATGAAAATATTAAACAAGATCCCAAATCAGACCCTTGTGGAACTTCACTGGTAACATTTTCCCAGTCTGATGACACGAGTTACAGGATAGGGTGTCAGACCTCTGCAGTACAAGACACTATCTTATACGACGAGGTATCCGAACTAAGTCTAGAAGTCTAGAATGCAACTAGTTACATGTTAAACAGAGTGACAAATCCCTAATTAACATTTTGCATGGGAAGCAGCTGGGATATTGACAGCATGGCTACTTAAGTGGTAGTGACAAGTTAAGCTACTTTCTTGTTATCAGGAGTTTACTGTATATCTTTATATATATATATCCTTGGATAAAATTTAAGCTAGTATTGCAGCACTGTGCCAGGAACCATTCCATCCAACAAATCCACACGAGATTCCGCAAATCACATTCACTGCAAATGAGTCAACAAGAGACTTGCTGCCTCAATACTCTTCTCTCCCCACACCCCCCACCACCCCACACCCAGCACGAATCACTGGATTTCACAGACTTACTTACCTGATCACTGACCAGGACATGAATGCCTGTAGGTCCCTGTCTGTAAACTTGGCTTATCTGATTTGGGGATATACTAAAGATGCTGGCGATCTTTTTAGTAAGTTCTGCTGCTGTCAGCTCTTCCAGGTAGATAGCGTGATACACTGAACAGTTTGAGGAACATAAGAAAGGTTTTTAGAAAGGGTAAAAATCAACTTAAATAGCACCCTTCACGAGGGGTAGCATCTCAGAGTGTTAACAGTGGCAGAGCTTGAACCCCAAAACAAATATAAACAAATATACATACCATATATTGCACGGTTGTTGCTCTCTCCATTTTCATCATCTTGTGGTCTCTCCAAATGCAAAACACTTCTCATACGTTGAGATTCTTGGCAGACATAGATGGTTAACCGTGGTCTAATAGACCTACATTAGATTTAAATAAAGCAGCATTACCACAACAAGTCAAGACAATACTGCACACACTGTATCTCTGCAGTCTATTGGACCACATGTTGGTGCTCCAAAGTTGTAAGTCATGTTAAAGCATAAGTTACAGTTGAGTTCCACAACAGGGTAGTTGGGGGGAGTGGTCTACAAAATCCCAACCAGTTTATAAGACATGAGCTTCTCCAATCAGTGAGGCTGTACATTCACCGTCTGCGCACCCACAATGACACCGCCACGCGGTGGGTGCGCAGCATTGCTGGCCAGCATTCAACAAGACCAAATTGCCAATTTCTGGATCATCAGATTGCTAACATCATTTCCTCTACGGCCTCCCAGAAGTGACATCAGCGGTGACCTGGTGACCAGAAGTCGGACATTTTGGTCTCTCACAAGTCAACCAGTCAATTGAAAAGCCGAAGACCATATTTTAGATTTTGTTTTGGAGTCATTAAATGTTGGGACCCACATCCCAATAGAAGAAAACCCGTCCTTTAATATAGTTTTGTTGTAGATTTCCACCCTCTGCAAGTGCATAAACTAATCACTGGTTCTTCAAAGCTAAATACGCACATTGAAAATCTATCCATTAACCCGATCACCATAACCATACTTTTTCCCAATACTACAGAGAAATAGCATTTTAGCGACTCAGATTTTATTGTGGAACATTATCAACTAAAATTCACAGGTGTACACAGCATATACACCCCAGACTGCTGCCTTAATATTTATTCAGTGTCCAACAACCATCCATCCAGCCAGCCAGATTACTTAAACCCATAAATCAAATCCCTTATAAACAGAAAGCAAGTAACAAATTAGTTTGTGTAAATGTACCTTGCTTTAAGTGCATTGAACAGTCTAATCCCATCAGCTGAGCCACAGATCTGTACCAAATCATCCCTTGTCAACTTTAGTAAATCAGAACCTGAGAATTCAGAAAGAATCAATCATAAATATCCAATTAGTTATGAAGCTTCTATGGGAACTAACAGAAGATAAGCAATATATTTGGTTTAAGATGCTCAAAAGAATCACATCTGCACAATCAGCAAACATTACTTCCAAATTGTCATTCAGTGCAACGGCATCTGCACCTGCTTTAAAATTCTTCTCTCTCCTCACTATCTCCTGCCATACAAACCGTATAGCTGAGTGGGCAGGCAAATCTCTCGGTCCCTTTTTGCTCAGCAATAACTCCCCACAGGGCCAATTCAGGGACGATGCCAACTCAGGTTTTCTTCCCCCACCGCACCCCACCCATTGAGAAAGGTAATTACACACTAAAATAAATCACATTATAGAACAAAAAGGAATCACAATCAGTACCTGAGAAATTTGAAAAAAGTCTCGAGTATGCTGAGAATCTATTCTTAAGCAACCACTGTTGAGCCTCTGGTATTGTAGCTGTTGGATACAATTGCTAGAGGAAAAAAGTTACATATACAAAGTCACACATTTTATTAACCTGTATACTACAGCTAAATTCTCAACTTATAAAGATTAAGCATTTTAAAAGCATGAATTGGAAGAAATCTACCTTCAGCCCCTGCCACTTAACATAAAACAAAAACAATTTATTTAAGTCTAAATTTACAAGGTAACAGAAATTGAGGCATAGAAAAACATTGGGGAAGAATAATGGAAGAGGATGATGCATTTGCAGAGCCTTGAATACATCAAGAATAATTGTGGTAAGACTGTGTGAGATTTTGATTCATTCAGTTCCATTAAATTTATAATGTTTACATCACATCCTATATTGACCCTTTTCACTAAATTGGCTCAATTTTAACTACAGTAAAACTCACATAAATTGTATCAGTCAGGACCATAACATTTAATATGACTTACGCGAAGTTGCAGGCTGAAGTCGTAGAAAATCCTATTTAATCAATGATTTACACTGCCCATGTGTAATTCAACGCAGTCAGTTTTAATGCAGTGACAGGCTAAGACCACATCACCTGCGATTCAACATGTTTTGACCCATCACATGAGCATTTACTAGCAAACATTGGAATCGTAGTGGGAATAGCAGTTCTTCCGCGCATGCGTCGACAGATGAAGACTATGTTTCCCACAATTCAATGTGGCTGACCGACCGGTAAGTGCGCATGTTCCGACTGGTAAGGACATCATTTCCCACGATTCAAGAACCAAGTAAGCATGGGAGTAATGAGGGGAGGGGAGCAACGTTACGAGTTAGGAGGTGATTAAGAGGAGTAGTGTAAAGAAATCAAAAGTGGTTTTGAAAGGAAACTAAATGGGACGCAGGTAAATGTACGTCTTAGGCATTTATAAAGATTACAACAACCTGCGTTCATATAGCGCATTTCATGCAGGACAGCGCCCAAGAGAGCTTGGCAGTGGCGGAGTCTGACCCTGAGCCAGGAAGTGTGGGAAAGTGACCATAAGCACAGTTGAAGAGGAAGGTCTTCAGGCTCGACCTGAAGACGGGGAAGGAGGGAGCAAGGTGGAGGGATTGAGGGAGAGTGTTCCAGAATTTGGGGGCAAAGTGGCTGAAAGCACGGTCACCCATGGTGGAACTGAGAACACGAAAGACAAGAAGGAAGTCAGACCCAGTTAAGTGGAGGGAATAGATAGTGGATTAAGGAGTCCGATTATGCAAGTTTGACCGTATGAACAAGAAATGAGTGGTTTCATAGTTCTTCTACCAAAAGGAACAGTAAAGGCTAACGATAAGATAATGGATTTGTAGATATCAATGTCACTTTATGAGGATATTAATGTCATACAGTAAAGCTTTAATGTTATTCCAATTTTAAAAAGAAAATTACGGTTGTTAAATTACAAAGGACAACCCCAGGCTTCTCTTTTCCACCACTAACCGTCTTCTCCGTCCACCTTCCCATACTTCGCCCATCCTCTCCTCAAACTCCAACTGTGAGGAGATGCTGGACTTCCTCGAATCTAAAACCGAGGGGATACGTTCAGCCACCTCAGCCCCGTCCACAGCCACCCCCACATCACCTCTCCCTCATGGCCCACCCCCCACCCATCCCCTCCATACTCCTTCAACCCTATCTCTCCCTCCTCCCTCACCACGACTGTCCGTAAACTCAAACCCACCACCTGCTCCCTCGATCCCATCCCCACCTCTCTCCGAGCTCCACCTTCTGGCACCTCTCCTCGTCAACCGCTTCAGTTCCCACCCCCCTAAAAACAGCCGTCATCACCCCCATCTCAAAAAAAACCTTCCCTGGACCCATCCCTCCTTCTCCAGCTACCGCCCCATTTCTAACCTCCCATTCCTCTCCAAGGTCCTGGAACGAGTCGTCGTGTCCCAGCTCCTCTCCTTTCTCTCTCGCCATTCCCTCTTTGAACTCCTCCAATCCGATTTCTGCGCTGCCCACAGCACGGAAACAGCCCTGGTCAAAGTCACTAATGACATTCAAAAACATCTCTAATGATCAGGACTCCCTCTGCCTCCTTGTCCTCTCTGACCCCTTCGACACTGTCGACCACTCCATCCTTATACACCGCCTTTCCTCTTTGCTCAATCTTCACGGACCTGCCCTTGCCTGGTTCGATTCCTATCTCTCTCACCGTCTCGTTTGTTGCCTCTAACGGTTTCTTCTCCAGTCCCCGCACTGTCACATCTGGCATCCCCAGGGCTCTGTCCTTGGCCCTCTCCTCTTTAATATCTACATGCTCCCCCTTAGTGAAATCATCCGCAGACATGGGGTCAACTTCCATATGTATGCGGATGACACCCAACTCTATCTTTCTGCCTCCACCCTCAACTCCAGGACCACTGTGTCCTGACAGACTGTCTGTCAGACATCAAGTCGTGGATGAGAGCAAATTTCCTACAGTTGAATGTGAACAAGACTGAGGCCCTCCTGATTGGCTCACACCAGCGCCTCAGCACCTCAGGCTCTGGCAGCATCAACCTCCATGGCTGCACACTTCAACTCACTAAGTCAGTCAGGAGCCTCGGTGTCTCGTTAGACCCTCAATTGTCTTTTCTCCCCCCACATCCAAGCCATGACCTGCTCTGCCTTCCCTCACCTCCATAACATCGCCTGACTCCGCCACTACCTCACCTCTCAGCCGCTGAAACTCTTGATCATGCCTTCATCACCTCCAGGCTCGACTATGCAAACGCCCTGCTTGTCGGCCTTCCCAACTCCTCCCTCCACAGGCTGCAGATAATCCAGAACTCTGCAGCCCGTGTCCTCTCCCGCACCAAACTCCGTGACCCCATCTCCCCCACTCTCGCCTGACTCCATTGGCTCCCTATCCTTCAGAGGATCCAGTTCAAGATCCTGGTCCTCACATACAAAGCCCTTCATGGTCTCGCCCCACCCGCCCCACCATTGGCGGGAGAGCCTTCAGCCACTCTGCCCCCAACCTCTGGAATTCCATCCCCCAGTCAGTCCGCCACTCCCCCTCCTTAGCCTCATTCAATTCCCACCTCAAGACCCTCCTCTTCGACCATCCCATCCGCCACCGCCCTTCCCCTCCCCTCTCTTTCCCCCCTCTGACCCCAGCTCGGGCCTGAAATGCTGTACTCTGTCCAGCGCCTTGGGACGTCCTCCCGACGTGAAAGGCACTATACAGATGTAATCTTGCTGCTGCTGTTGTTGTACTGTTGTTACTACTTCACTCAGCAATATATGCATCAGTAATTGTCAAGATCAACAAGATTGAAAGCTGCAATTAGACAAGAGTGATGTGAATAGGATACAGAAGCTGGGAATATTCATACTAAGAGAGGATTCAAGTGAGGTCTTCCTGAAATATTCCAAAAACCCCAAGGGCATAGATAACCTGTATATTAATATGTTTAACACAAATCCAGATGAAGGGGGTAACAACTTGTATTTATATAGCACCCCTCACACAGGGTAGCGTCCCAGAGAGCTTGTGCCGGGACATTGACTTGCACTCAGAAGTGAAAAAGTGAACAGTTCAGATTTAATTATTTTGCACAATGGTGAATGTGTCGAGGATGTTACCCAGAAAGGAGACAGGCAGATTGCATCAGCAAATTCAAGAGGGAATTAGACAGCTATTTAGCAAATAATTCAACTGAGGAACATGAAAGATGAAGTAGTGCTGGACTATATTGTTAGACTTTGGGACTGACCAGATGATTATGTGCACAATTATAATAATAACTTCTAGAATAAATATTACAACTTACTACATCACAAGAAAGTCACTTTTCTGTGATGTGCTACACACATCATTTTTCGGTAGCACATGACAATACGTGTAGAGTACACACAGTCAAGCCTGAATGCCTCTTCCCTTACTTTGCAAACCACATACTATGCTACCAAATACAAGCAAAAATAGGAGCCACACATACCTCAACTTCACATTGTGTTGTCCCTTCTCCATGGTGATTTGGTGAAGAGGAGTTACTGCAAAACAATAGCACTTGTGAGATGCAGTTTCAATTTCAGGAAAAATCTTACTACTTAATGTTAATCTGTCTTCCCCAAGTCCTTGACAGCAATTCTGACTTAGGCACGAACAGATGGTTATGTTTATCATTGTCTCACCAAAATAATAAATGCCTGTTTCAGTAGTCCGGATCCTGAGCCAGGCAGGTCCACAGTACTCCAGGGCACTGCTTACTATAGATCAGCCAGACTGGCTCAATGGCATGACTTGGAAGTGCAGACCAATCACTGGGTTAGGGATTCTTCCCATTCAACTTCTGTTAACCGTGCAAGCCAACGCCTAACAAGAAGGGTGGTCCTAACCGGATAAGCAGTGGAATAGTTTGCTAGACAGCGTTTCAATGGCAAGCTATGTGGTTTTAGCTGGCGAGGTTCCCGCAGCACCCCACACACGCTGTGTCACCAAACTTCAGCACTTCGCAGCCTGTGCCTAATGGGAGAGTGTGCATTCTATCCCACGCATGGGAACTTCCACTTGTCGGTGGCATACATAGGATTCTCAGTCTGGATTGGTTAGTTTTAAGCATGGTGATGGGTTTCTGCATGTGTCAAGACACCTGGCTGACCTAAAAAAAACTTTTAACACAATTGTATTCAACTGTATTGGCATGACTATACCTGTCAGGTACACTGTAAGTACTCTGCTGTCCCGAAGTAAACACAGGAGTGGTGGAAGGGCTGCTGTTCACACATGCATTATCTGGCCACGGGGAACACTGTAGTATGTAAAACAAAATCAAGATTAGAACTTCGAATCCTTCATAACCACAGCACAAGGACAGTCTGTGCTTGGTATAAATTATAGTGATGGTGCACGTGTAGTGGAGTCTAAGCAGAAAAATTAAGAGGAATTGAAAATACTCTTCACACTACGCATTTAAAGACCAGCAAGTACATAGACAAAAGTATCTGCAATTCCAACACCTAAATTACTTTCTTTTGGTGGTAAGGGGGGGGGGGGGGGGGGGTTTATAGCGAAACTTGAAAAAAAAACCTGGTAAGCAAGAAAGGGAATGGAGATACTATAAAAATAAGCGCATGTCGCTAACAAAAGATAGAATGCAAATTTGTAGAACCTTGCACTAAACATCTAGGAACCTGGTTAGCCCTGGATGCATTATATTTGTCTCAACTAAAGAATCCTGCTTCAAGCACACCTCACAAGACCAAGATACTGAACATATCATGCTATGATTAATCTAGGGGCTAAAGATTTTAGTATAATTTAGTCCAGAACATCAACTTCAGTGCCATAGTTGGAAGGGAGGTTGGGGAGGGTGGAAGGAAACAGTAGCCGAAGATACAATAAACGACTAGGTTTTGGACAGAGTTTGAAAACTGAGAGGGATTTTGGAAGAGCTCCAAAGGGCTGGGGCAAGGAAAGGGCAAAAGACAAGAATCAAGCCAAGTTGACAAAACGCAGAGAGTGGGTAGGCTATAACACTCAAAATATCACAAAGGTAGTGTGGGGCAAGCCATAGAGGTATTAGAAGTCAAGGGTAAGGATCTCAAAGTACATCTGTTGGCGGTAGGTAACCAGTGAGCCAGATGAGGATGACAGTGGTGGGCTAGTGTGGGAAAGAATGTGGGTTGCGGAGGTCTGTATGATCTGGTGATTGAGGAGGTTAGAGCTGGGAAGGCTGGAGAGCAGGACATTATAGAAGTCAAGTCTGGAGGTGACAAAGGCACGGATGAGAACCCAAAACTCCAATTCATAGAATCTTACAGCACACAAGGAGGCCATTCGGCCTATCGTGCCTGTGTCGGCTCTTTGAAAGAGCTATCCAACTAGTCCCACTCCTGCGCTCTTACATCATAGCCCTGCTGTTTTTCCTTTTCAAATACCTATCCAATTCCTTTTTGAAAACTACTATCAAATCTGCTTCCACCATCCTTTCAGGCAGTGCATTCCAGATCCTAACTCTGTGGGTGAAAAAACATTCTCTTCGTCTCCCCTCTGGTTCTTTTGCCAATTATCTTAAAATTTACTGACTCACCCGCCACAGGAAACAGTTTCTTCCTCTTTATTATGTTTCATACACCCAGAGGAAACATACAATACAATTACTATTCTATCTTTAGTTGGACGCAAAAGCTGACAGAAAGTAAGTAAACATGTATTTCATGACCATTATCAGAACTGGTGCTAAACTCAACAAAGAAATGTGGAAGAACTAATTCTTGTTCATTTTTTAAAAAAATGTTTGTCCAATATTAAGAAAGCAGTTCAATCTCACATGAATTTATAGGGAATGTGAGACACCAGTTATAAATTGCGGGATATTAGCTTATGGAGCTGAATTAAGCACGATGCAAGAGTAGTTGAAGCTTGAAAAACATACATGTAATCTCAAGATCCTAATTTATATTAAGAAGCCACGTGGATGGGTGATTGTAGCTTATAGCATACTATCCTTTTACCTGAACTAGAAGCCAGGCCTGAAGTTTTACAATTAATCGATTTACTATTTGATTTACAATTAAATGAAGACATTAATGGCTAAAATTAACAGACGTGGGATTAAAAGCAACCTGTTGGCATGAATGGGAAATTGATTAGGAGACACAGTTGAGATAAAGGGAATATTGGAGCCGCAGCTTTTCACTGATATATTAGCAATCTAGATGAAAGTGTAGAAGGGATCTATCCAAGTTTGCAGATGATACTAAGTTGGAAGGTGTGGTACCTTGTGAGGAGGCAGTGGAAAATGCAAAGGAGGATAGGCAGATTAAGAGAATGGGCGGAAATATGGCACATGGAGTTGAATGTGGTGATTCATTTTGGACCTAAGAATGTTTAGTTTGACTACATTCTGACCGGAGAAATTCTTAGCAGTGTTAATGAACAAAGAAATTTAGGTGTTCAGGTTCATAAATCTTTAAAAAGTAGCATATAGGTGCAGAAGGTTGTTGAAAAGGCTAATGCAATGTCAGCATTCGTCACAAGGAGGCTGGAATACAAGAGTCAGGAAATTATGTTACAGCTGTATAAAATGCTGGTCAGACCCTATTTGGAGTCAGCGATGTGGTTTTGGGCTTCAAAACTTACGAAGGATATATTGGCCAGAAGTGGGCAGTGTAGATTTACTGGAATGATTAGAATATATAATAATAATTGTATTTGATATAGCACATCGTTGAGACATCTCAAAATATCTTCACAAAATATATTGTAAAGTGAATTGATTGTATTAGTGGGCGAACGTTTTCTGGTGTGGAGGGCCAAAATTATGATCAAATACAAAAACTTGGTTTGTATTCTCTCGAGTTCAGGAAGTTGTGGGGGATCTGATTGAGGTGTATAAAATTATGAAGGGATTTGACAGGCAACTGTTTCCTCTTGCAAGAGAATTGAGGACTATGACCTCTAGTCCTCAATTGTCTCGCAAGTGGAAACTTGAGGACTGGACTAGAAACCTTTTTTCGTACAGGAAGTGAATCCTCACTCCCACAGCAGGCAGTGCAGGCAGTGATTTGAAGAATTTATAAGACAAATTGTATCTGCTTGTTAGATTGGGGTATTAACTGATATGGAGAGAGGAGGGCAGGGAGATGGAATTGAGTTGCAGATTGGCCACAATCTTCAAAAGTGGCAAGGACAGGGTCAAAGGGCCGAATTCTTATCTCTGTTTCTATGATTTATGCCACTTCCAAGGCAGTTCAGCTCCAAAAACTGTCTTGAATGCTTCTAAGCAATGATCTTCCTTAGCCTGGCTGGTTCATAAATCAGCAATATTATACTGCAGTAATGAGAGATGGTCTGTGATAGGATTAAAAAAAAAGTTGTTGGAACAAAGCAAAGGGAGTTTTAGAACAGTAATAATTCCAGGTAAGAGTAGACCATTGGTCAATCCACTCCAATTCTCTCAAGACTTTACCCTGTTATCTATCCTGGAAGTGTATGATGGTAATATTGGATGTCAACTTTTGGAAGCTTTGAAGCTTTGAAACTGTCCGCCTTGATCAATCAGCCAGAACTGAAAAGCCTCAAGTGTAAACATAAAAGACTCCAGTTTCTTTTATATTCTGAAAAGAGGTTGATTCACTGCTATGAATAATTATACAAAGTAACTAAATAATTTATGCAGGCTTGACCCATAAGCAAAAATATCTCACAGTTCACAAGCCAGCAAAATGTCATTAATATCAAAGTAAGGTTTTCACTTGAAGTGGAAACCTTTCAGACTTACAGTATCTAACTTTAGTACAAAGAAAGGCAATTCTAATGTCTCTTTTATACTCGTCTCCAGCTATGAGCAACAGTTAACAGTTAACTGACTCTTGGTTTGATGTTTTCCAGGACACTGTGTCACATATGATTCTGTCACAGTTTCTTGACGTTACCAATATATGACACAATTTCATCCCTGCCAAGCGTGTACATGCATAAGACCTTTTGCTTGTTTTTTTTTCTCTTCTGATTGTTACTATTTAAAGGGCAGGAACTGCATCTGAAGAGGTGGCTTTGCTCCCACTTTTTTTTTCCAGTTTGGCTAGTTATTTAGATAGGGCCAATGAGAAGAAAACAGTCTGGAAAGTTTTTACATGGAAAACCTGACACTGTTCTCTGTTTATAGAATCATAGAATTATACAGCACAGGAGGAGGCCATTCAGCCCATCGTGTCTGTGCCGGTTCTTTAAAAAGAGCTATCCAATTCAATTCCACTCCCCTGCGCTCTACCCACAGCCCTGCAAACTTGTCCTCCCCAAATAATTATCTAGTTGATCTATTATCTTTAGCCACAGCATTTAACAGTGGCAAAAGTGTTCAAAGTATTCAGCCACAAGCACGTCACATTAAGCTGCTCCTTTTTTATTATGGTTGGTTGGCATGATAAAACAGCAGCTTTTCTGCTTGTAATTTGTTAGCCACCAGTAACTTAGCATTCAAGTTTGATCATCAAGCAGAAATTCTTTGCAGGAGATTCTAGGGCAACATAATACAGACAACACTAAGTGAAAACCTGTGAGATAGGAAGAAAACAATAAAACACTCTCCATGCATTGTTCAATTAAAAGTCTGAAGGTTTAAAAGAATTATGCGCTTTATCTTAGTGGCTAAGTACCTTTAATATTGATAACATTGTTAGTTTTGTATATTTAAATTCAGTATCTAGTCTCACAACTTCTGGTTATGTTCAATCCTCTCCATTTCAAGGGTTTTGTAGGATGGGTACAGCCATGTATGTAATACATAGGGTTTAGTTGTAGGCAATGGTTAACCTTAGGCACTCTGTAAGGCCAATAAGACAAGGCCACATTCCAAGATTGCAGTAGATATGATTCCACTTGCAGGAACAAAGAGAATATTGGCATCGTCTCCTCTCTTTCGCTTTGTTTTACTTCCTATTTCACTCTATCTATGTTACTTCCCACTTCTTATGGGATAGTCTTTAGACACCATCGATGCTGGCCTATGATTAACCAGAATCACCATTCCTACGGGGTAAAACATGTCTTGCCAGATTTGTTCTCTTCTCTTTCCTGTATAATTATAGTTGAACAAAACAATGCACATAATCTTGAAAAAACATAACATTTATGGATCCAGAAATATTGACTATTTACGTATTTTAACAGGCAAATTCAGTACAAGCACTTTGAGGATGTCAAATTCAGGCTCAAGTTTTAGGATTTGGATCAGAAACTCATACATTCTTCATTATCTCACAATTCCAATTGGGAAGTTTCAAGTAGGATTAATAACTCTTATGGATGCAGGGGTGATCTCTGCAAAGTTAAAATTCACTTTTTGCAGTGAACAAGCCAAAGATACAATCAGAAGGGAAAAATATGCAAGTGCATTTAAAATATTATAGTATGTTTCACGTCATTATAGTAGCCTTTCATATCCTCCCGACATGAAAGGCGCTATACAAATGTAGTTTTGCATTGTATAGTAGTGTAGCAATTTAGGAAGTCTGCTCTACCAAAATGGTCTGAATAACATTATTATTGACCACATAAGTCACTTTATAAAATATTCCACTCCTAGCTTTTCAGTTATGCAAAGCTTCAAAAGCTAAATAGGGGCAAGGAGAGTAAAGAAAGGAAGTGAACATATTCCAAATGTATCATTCTCCATCCAGCATGCCAACTCCCATAAAACTGGAAGCCTTTTGCTTTCTTATTTATAAATAAATCTTCTTCCCCAAATCTATAAATCTGAATATAGCACAATATTATTTATCGTAATAGTTTGATAAAAATCCACTCAGATAAATGACTCAGATTACTGATCACCTGTTAATTTCAATAATGTACCCTTATTAGATATTAATTCAGCTCCAAAACTGTTGAAGTGTTTGATTAAATAATTATAGAAGACATTGTGAGGTCCAGCCAGTTCTAGCAATTTGTGGGTGGTATATTAACTCCCAAATGTACAAATAAGCTTACAGGCCTCCCATGTAAAAAGTCTCAAAGCTGTTCACATGCAACTACTGCCAACTAAACTGACTTATTTAGGAAAAATAAAATTCTGCCATTCTCACCATAACTTTATCAAAACATTTAAATCTCCGCCTCCTAATCATATAAAGAAGTGAGAAATGTCCAAATTAAGATTCTGGTCCCTGAGAATTTTGATGAAAACTTTTAAGTGTTATAGACATGAATATGTAAAACTGTTGAAGGTATGTAGCTTAATATAAAACTGAAGCCAAGAATGTCTCCTTTCGTTTTACATTAATTTCAAACATGTCTGAAAAATTGTTTCCAAAGTTGTAATTTACTTGTCATTCCACCTCGGTGTGTTTATTGGAACAAATTACAACTAAGATGAGATAGCAGAATAGCAGAATAGAAATTGTCTGGTACAAGAGAATGGCGAATTCGACAATTTTCAAAATAGCTCAAAGTAACAATCAACCATTTCAAGCCAGGAGCATTTTGAGAAGTTCAGACTGCATCTCAAAGTTCTTTCTCAATTAAATATTATTAGCCCTTCTTCTCAACTACTCATTTTACTTGCAAAGTTAAATCAAGTTTCAAAGTGTAGGATCTCTTATTTGGGAAAGTACCTAGGCAGTTATTCATAGATATCTCAGGACTTTTTATCCCTTCAAATATGCATATCCATGAAAATAATTATTTCATCATTTCCCTAGAAAGAAACTATTTTCATTGAATGTCTCAATTTTCAATATAAATAGATCCTACATAGATATTTTCTAGCTATCCACATATTTTTGCCAGGATTTGCCAATATCATACTATAAAAGACTGCTGCAATATTAACAGGTAAAGTAATAACCTCCATCTTGAAACTTGTTTACTGATGTAAAGAAAATAAAAATGAATTAGTGCAATAAACTAAATATCTGTAGTGGTGCCTCGTGCATTAAAGACATCTGTATAAAATCAGAAGTTTACCTTCAACTGAATTCTATATTTGACAGTATAAAGACAACAGAAAAGCGATTTGATTTGCAGCACTATAACTTTACACAGTAAAATTGTTTGTATCTCATTATATAGGAAATTTTAGCCAGTCTGGGTTAAAATGGGCAAATGAGTTATCTGCAAAACCAGCAAAAGGGTTTTAAAGAAAGAATAGGGAAAAAAAACAGTATACTAGTGAGAGTGGGGAAGGGGAGGAAAGAGGAAAACAAAAGCATAGGGAAAAAGCCCAAAGACACATTTGTTATGAAATGCAAAGTGGCGAATCATTTCTACCTGTTAAATCGTGCACTTTCTTGCTGTGTTAGGCCACAAAAACCAATATATAAAAAAAATCAAGATATTATAATTTAGTATATTTTCAGAAAATTGTTTGTGTAGTGTTAAATCATTTCACGAGTAATCAAAAGCTTTCTGAACTGCAGAGGTAAAAACTTGCACCGTATTTATTTCCCTAAATATTCTACCTCAACTGCTTTAAAACCGTGACTGCGGATTCAAACATTGAAATGTGATGAAGATTAACACAATCCAATTTAAATAATACTAACTGCAGCTACAAATTTTTGTGGCCTTTTGAGGAAATAAGAGTATCTGCATCAAGTGTTAGATTTAGGAGGAAATTCCTTTAAGGGCTAAGAAGTTCAACATTTTGCACAACAAGCCCAAACTTTTTTCCTTTCACGGCAAATGTTGTACGTACATCAAATCTTATCCTATATCTAACACTTTGATTGTATTCTTGCACAAGCGGCCTTGTACAATGAAAAGGTAAGCAGAAGTCCTTACACTGCCTCGCTTTGCCAGAGAATCACCGCAGTCTGCTGGCAAAGTCCGCTTGGTGGACTTTTTCTGATCATGTTCAAGTGCATCTTCAATAATAGGCTCAAGCCTCATCTGGACAGATACCAAAGACTCGGATCAATTTATACAGTACATCATGAGCACACTAGTAGCGAAAGCTTTAACATTGACTTAAAATGTTAAATTTCATAGAAAGAAAATCAGGGTCTTCAACTTACTTGTCAGATACTATGACACTGCTAAACTACAGCCCTTTTCCAATTAACCCACACATAAGTGACTCATAATTCTATCGTCATGATCTTAAGGTTAATTTTTTTCAGATCTGGCACTACTTTGGCATTCAGTGCAAATGTACCTCAAGAGCAGAATGTGAAAACAAACAACCTACTACATATAGCACAAGTAATTGTCATGCAATAGATTTAAACTTTTTTAAAAAAACATTTGAGGCTTTGGTCCTAGAGCTTGAAAAAAGATCTTTACAAGCAGAGAAGGTCACATCCAGCTGCTCACTTCCAAACTTTTAGTGCAATGTTTTTTGTTTTGTAAACCACAATAATACAGGCAGACTGGCATAAAATCAGTTGTGTGTTTTTTTTAAAAAAACTTACTTCGTTGCAAGTTAAGTCAAAAGCATTTACAGAGAGCTCACAGCAACCTTTACAATATGACCTTTACACAAAGGGTAGCACACACACCCCAATATCATGATTGTTCCAGCGATGTCTTAGAAACCCTCTCGCAGCTCACATTGAGGGTAGCTGTCAATGAAACGTAAACTACAAGAGAATTTCTCAATCTAAATTCAGACATTTTCGAGCCAGGATTATGGGATTGTCTGGGCATTTGAATGTTTCAATACGGTAATGATTATTGAGCTGATCAGATAGCAACAGTTACAGAGTAGTATAGCATGGCATGCTGGATGCCAGTTTCTGTCTTCTCAAGATATGTTTCTTTGTTGTAGTGGTCCATCTTCAAGCCTGGCTCAGAAATGTTGATCTTCACGTCCTCCCGACGTGAAAGGCGCTCTATAAATGCAATCTTGTTGTTGTTGTTGTTTTTGTTCACTTAATAGAGGTGCACAAAAGAGACTTTGGACTTAAAACTCACAGCCTTTTGATTAGGACTAATTCCCACTTGAGCCAGGTTTCCGTTAAATGTACAAATTTCCTACAAGTCCACTCTATACTACTAACACTTGCCCTTCTGTGGTTGGACATTTGCAAGTTAGGGTACTGCCATATTAGATGAGCAGCACCCTAAACAGTTGTCGAGCTACATAGGACCCACAAAAAAACGTGATAACAAATTTGAACAGGTGATGAGCACAAAACATAAACCAGGAACTCTACAATCAGATTCCACCATCCAAAACTCCAGAAACATAGTTTTGCCCACCCACGAATGCACAATGTTTCTACTTGCTTACTTCAGCCAGTCAACATACTGATTTTGAACATCCTGTAGAGGTATTAAATAGCAATATACTTTTAAATTGCTTCAGTAACAGCAATCTGTCAGTCATTCCATTACTATCCTTAACATACACTTTTAAAAAATAGCCAGCTGTTATTGGTGCAAACATCTCACCACTTTGACTCCTTTAATCCAATCGTGATCTCCTGGAAATAGATCCCCAAATGAACCCAATGTTGCAGAATACTAGGGTCAAAGTATTTCTGTACTTCAATTTTTAACAAACTGTTTCAAGACACTCTCTTGGGATGAACCCCAATGACAGCACATTGCCAGATTTTTTCTGAAAGCAACAACAAATTCATACACAGTACAATTGCCTATTAACAGTCCTAACACAGAACTCACCACCGTCTTTCCCTCAGCAAAAACTTTACCACAGTTGAAAATCCAAACTAACTGCCTACTAAAATGAAGAATACTCCTTGTTGTTCAGTTGCTTCTTTTGTAAACATATAGATCTTCAATCCCATGAACTATACAACAGAGCAAGTTTCATTCAATTCTGGGCACACATACTTCTCTTCCCGTATTGATCAACATTACACTATAAATTTCTTTTAAATACCAACCCAGTACTTCACACAACATCTTGTTTGAAATAATCCATTGTTGATGCATTAAGATGAGCTACCACTTTTGGTTCCTGTAACCTTCATTCCAATGCTTATCCAACACCAAACCAGGCTTACTACTCTGAAACCCAGTGGAGTCAGACTATTTCAGACTGCATTTTGAAAATTATATTAAATATGCTCAAAAGAAACAACGATCTAAGGAGAAACAAAAACGCATTTATTTCTCTTTAAATCTTCCAAATTTCCCTTCTGCCCTAAAAATGTTCGACTCCTCTTCCCTTTTACTGGGATATGGCTCCAAGATCACCCTCTAGTACCTTGCCTAAATGACTATCATTTGTGTATGATCTTCGTCAAGCTGTACAACTGTGGGGCATCCTGACTTCATCCGATGTCCATACAAACACCCACCAGCATACAAGCAGAAAACCTGGTTGATTTTCCCTTCCTAACTCAGGCTTGCTGAGGTCAATTGTAGGGTCTCAACTGTTGCCTTGTCTGAGATCAGATAACAGTGCATTCAAACCTGTAACCTTCAAGTCAGTATGGACTCACTAGATTTTGGAAGAACTAAATGACACACTTGAAGTGAAGGAGGCTTCACAAATAAAGTAGAAAATCGAGAGAAAGATGATGATGGAATTTGTTCCAAGATTTTCTTTTTAGAAGCACAATGCACCACCATAGCATGCCAGGGAAGACCAACATGTTAAAATTGAGTTATAAGACAAAAATGTACTTATGATATTTTAAAAATAAGAGGCCAGATTGGTGTAAGAAATGGTCTTTAGTGTGGATACAGTGAATGTAAGATAATGGACATTGGTACATAAAGCACAATGTCCAATAAGCAATATTAGAAAATAATTTAATTCTGTTATTGACCATTTAACCATGTTTCCTATCAATATAAAACTGACCAACAAGGCCTTTTTTAAGTAAATCTGCCCAAGTTGATTAACTCAATGATAACATTTGAAATAATGGATCCAATGATGTAGATCCTATGTACAAAAGTTAATGACAAATTGATGTTAGGACTGAATGTCAATAATAATGCCACCAATCTAAAGCTCTTGACTTATGAAGAAACATTCACAAAATTAATGACTGAGAAAGAATATTATTATGCTTTATAAAATGCTTCAACCATACGCAGGGTAGATGGAAGAAGACTATTTAACACAGACAAGGAGCATAGAACTGGAGGACATATGTCCGAAATAAAGCCCTTCAAGCTGGAGAAGAGATAAGAAATTTCACAGGGTGGCAATCTGAGACTCCCAGGAAATAACATCACCATCTTCATAAATAAAATGGTGGCTATACTTCAATTTGAGGAACAGAATTGAAAGTTATAAGGATACGGGAAGAGAGAGATAATCAAACTCCTCCATGAAACACCACAGAATTGTATTTTGTGAAAAGATAGAGTGGTCAGTGAAAATTAGTCAGAAGCAGCAGCAAGACGGATGGCTAGTCTATTCGATTACCTTTGAAGATCAGGAAATTACTCAAAAATATCCTTCAAAATTTTAAATAAACGCTGGAGTCAACGATTAATGTAAATCATACAAGGCCTGTGGAAATGGGCTTTGTGTGCCAAAAGCCCTTTCAGTGTTCCATACTTGAATGTTTACCTCCCTATTCATCCACAAATTATTGCATTATTTTTTGGGAAGAGAGAGAGAGGGTGGAGAGAAAAAAGGAAAGACAATCTACAGAACTAGAATAGAAATACAAAATGAAAGAGGATAAAAGACAGAAAATTAACAGCACGATAAGACCACTGCAATCTTTATATACAAGTACTAAAGGCAATAGGTGCAGATTAGATACAAATTATATTAGAGAATTATTGGGATTATAGTACTCTAGTTTTACTGTGTTATTAGGATTCCCTTCAGAAAAACGGCACCTGCTTCATTCTGATTGCTCTTCCTTAACTGCCGATCTTGTATTTTACCTCAGTCAGGATTGTCGTTTCATATGAAGGTTGATACTTTTCTTTTTCTTGAGGTGTTCGTTTCTCTATTTTTTCTCTATCAGTTTTCTGTTTTCTATCTGCTCCTTTTGGCTAGAAAATAAGGAAAATAAATAGCATCTAAAACTAACAGTCATCAAGTCAGGACTATCTCATTACAATTACATTCCTTTCATGAGGAAAATTCTCCATTTTAAAAAAACTACTGAGCTCAGTTCCCTTTCAAAATATGTATGTGTGTGTGTTTGGAAAAAGCAATCATCTTACAGACCGTTGACAGCAATCAAAAGGGAATTTCTCCCAGTGTTCTGTGTAAAAATCCCTCAGACAAAAAAAATTGGTCATTCATCTCTTGACCATATGACAAAAGCTTCAGCAAACTACAATGGATCGATTCAACCATATTGCCTATGATCTCCTTAATCGTTGCTGTGTCCACACTGGCAGCCTCATACGTCTGGAAATATACAGTTACTACGCCTTACAGTAAAATCCTGTGAAGCATTTTGATAATATGTTAAGGTGCTATACCAAAGAAAGGATTATTATTGTAAGGTTTCACACAAGATGGGGTGGCGAGGCTGGTGCCCTCTTACACATTTTACTAAAATATCCACAGGCCTAGGAATATTTGGTCATCTTTCCCATCCACACCCTCTTCAGTTCCCACACCCCAGTTTGAGAGCCCAACACGTATTGTCGCTTTGAGGCGCGCCCCAACATGAAACACAATATTGTATCGTGATTAGGGGATCACACGCATTATGACTGAATGAATGCATTGCAGATTGTAGAGATTTGACAGAAACTCATTTGGATTCCAAATGATGTGTCCAAACGATCCACTCTTTTCGCCTGGATGTCAATGCACTACACTCCAGGCTCTGGTGCCAGGTTGATGTGCTTTTATGCTCCTCCAAGATGATGGAATATACAACAACTTGCACTTATATAGCGCCCTCCACGCAGTGTAGCATCTCAGAGCGTTTGAATATAGCCCATTTGGAGAGAATTATGCATGTTGCTTACTTTCTATTACTAGCTTTTAAAAGCTTGACCGTTTTCCTATTTAAAACTTGTTTACTTTTTTGCCTTCTGTAATTTATTAATATTTTCTCAACTGCTCCTCTATTGGACCTGTGCATAGATATATGAGCCAGATACTGAGCCAAAAGTACACATGGTGCAAGTCCACACAGACCTGGATGAATGAGGAAAAATCTATCAATACTGCTTTTTCACTATCATAGACATCAAATTAATTCACGGAATACTGACGAAAGTATTAGCTTCAGAAAGTTGCCCAAGTGATCTCTGCAGTTCCCTTCCTCTCCCATCCCTTTTCTTGGGTCTCAAGTCAAGCTGTAAAATCTACCTCTTCAGACATGCCTTTGGCCAACTCCTCAACCCTTGCTCTTTGAAACACTATCCTATGAGATTGTTATTTAAATGCAAGTTGTTGTTGTACGCAAATTATTTTCTAAAACAATATGGATAATCACAAAAGACATGCAAAGAAGTAAACATATGAAACGTATTCCTGTGATCAGTTTGAAAAGAAGGAACAAAAAATGTGTTTTGGAAGCAAGTGCATGGAGTTGTCCTCCACCATCTATCTCAGTCGGTCCGCATTTGCTTGGTTCAAGTCCTACCTCACAAACCGCCAGCATTACATTTCTGCAAATGGCTTCTATTCTCGCTTCCACGCCTTTGTCACCTCTCAGCTGGACTACTCTAACGCCCTCCTCACCGGACTCCCCTCCTCCACTATTCACAAAATTCAGCTCTTTCAAAACTCTACTGCCCTCATTCTCACCCGCACCAAACGTCCTACCCCGATTATTCCAGTCCTTGCCAAACTACACTGGCTCCCTGTCACAGAGCAGATCGACTTCAAGATCCTCACTAGTGTTTAAATCCCTCCATTCCTTGGCACCCCCCCAGCTCTCTAACCTCCTCTCTCCTCACAGCAGTACCCGCTGCCTCTGCTCTATTGGTTCCAGCCTACTCCGTGTCCCCTGAATCCTCCGCTCCACCATCGATGGTCGTGCCTTCAGTCACTATACCCAAAACTTTGGAACACCCTCCCTCAACCACTTTGCCTCGTCCTTCCTTCCCCATCTGCAGGTCGTGACTGAAGACCTTCCTCTTAGACCGCGCCTACTGTCACCTTCCCCTTCCCCACTCGGCCTTTGCCATTGTTAAGCGCTCTGAGATGCCGCCCGGCGTGGAGGGCGCTATATAAATGCAAGTTGTTATATTCCTCAGTAATAAAAATAATGTCAATGAGAGAAGTACATGAAAAGCTTAAGCATTTCAAAGCTTTTTACAGTGGTGTGAAGACTCATGGATTTAAAAAAGGGTCTACTGTATAGTTGTCAAAAGATTACAAACACGATGCATAAATACTTGGTTTTCACAAACTATGTGCAAGTACCACCACAATTTAAAAGTGTAAACAATAATACCTTAAAAACTTTGATTTGGCAGCTGGCTGAGTGAAGATGTTCTGTGTATTCTCCAGCCTCATTCGGTTTAAATGTGTCAATCTGGATCCTGAATGGAACCCCCTTTTCACCCCCATGCTTTCTGGGAGTAAACTCTGTGCTAATACAATGTACCTGTAAGAAAATGTTGTTTATTATCACATTAGAAATTAAAAATCAACAATGCCACAAACCACTGGCAGAACATGTTGCATTTCCAGCATATGGTACAACATGATATGTTGAAAGCAACAAATGGTTCATTTCAGATTCAGCAGTTTTTACGCCTTTCAGACATCACTGGCAATTTGGACTGTTCCAATGAATGAATGGAAGAACATTTAAAATGCACAAAACACTTTCCCAGAACTACAACAACAATAACAAATTACATTTGTATAGCACCTTTCATGTCAGGAAACTACAATCAAATATTTTTAAACTTTTTACAGGGAATGCGCTACAAAAGTACAAGTTGTTGTTCCTCAGTTTTTAATCAGAGTTTTGACTGCTGCATTAAGCAAATGTATAAAGTAGTAATTTATCCTGAGGTGAACAGCAGGATGCTGTTTTGTTACACTAATCTCAATTGTACAACTGTGAGGATCAGAGACTACTTTATCGAAAGAAGTTACCTAAGGACTCTCCCCTATATCAATCATTGTGCCAGTCTTAAGAACAGAACTGACAGACATAAAGATGCACATACTGCCAGCACCCTCCACAACTGTGATCCATGCAATGAGAGCTCAAGGAGAAAGTTAACTGTTACACTCATGTTAGAGCATGTAGATTTTGCACTTCCATCAAATAACCATTTAATCTGCTCTGCCTGCCCATTTTACTGGTGGTTTTCATTACATTCACTCAAGAATGAAACAATTCCATGAACAAAACAGAATATTTTATACAACCAGATATTAGGATAGTACAAACTAGTATGGGATCCTCTCAGATATTCTATCTAACTACTTTTTCTATAAGAATAGAAATGTTCGAACGAACCTGAATAAAAGCAGATGAACGTTTTGTCGGATCCCATAAGAATTCAATTGAATTCAGCTGTGCAGGATTTGTCTTGGGGTCAATAATTCCAACAGACATTGGAATATCTGTGAAGTGTTTTTTATACAAAAAATATTAGATCACTAAAGGGCAAGCAGGAAAGGTTACAATACCTAATACACTACAAACGATAGAAACAAACATTACATATAATAGATTGCAATATTTAAAGCCAGCATTAACTCCCAAATTATTTGGATAATCATTAACTGTGATAATCAGAACAAATCAACCCCAACTCTAACATGACTGAGGACAAAACTCACTGCAGGGCATTTGAATCTAATTTTAACTTGATAGAATAGCTTCTAAACAATGTACCGCAGAAGGAAAATAAAGAGGGACAGGCACAAAGAACAGAAAACAAAAATTACCCAAATCAAGAAGTCGATCACCAGGCCTATTCCACTTCCACCCTTCCAGCTGCTGGTGCTCTGTGTACTGTAGCCTTCGGTCATGGAACACAACCCGCACAATACTCTAGTCAAAGGTTACAATAATAAACACAAAAATCAGTGATTTGTAGCAATCTCATTTTTCTACGCCACTGGACAATGTACAAAGGTAGATGTGTTCCTATAGCCTGAATGATTTAGGTTTTCAGGCATAACATGTTTTCCCTGTGACAAGAAGAACAAGTTAATTAACATTCCAGTTTTTATTTCTTTATGGTCCCTCTCTACACAAACACAGAATGTATTTTTTAAAGCTTGTTTTTGCCAGTAGATGTTACTGTTCAGTGTTGCCACACAAGGTAATACAAGAACCTAAGCCTCAAAACCAAGTCAATTCAGGCACCTGAGACATACTGATGGAATAGGGCTCAACATTTTCCAGATACTAACACCTGGCTGCATGTGTTTCGTGCTTTTTTTTCCTTAAAAAAAATTCTGGTTTCACCAGTTCTACTGTGAATCTTCTGTAAGTGATGAGCATTTTCTTTTGAAAGCACGAAACAGTTTAATATCAGTCAATTTTGTCTTTATTTTACTGCTCTTACATTATGGTTAAATATTGTTTTCCTACTAAATAGTCGCTATACTTTACAATAATCCTGTGAAGCACTTTGAGACATTCCCTGACGTGAGAGGCTTATATCAAATTTAAGAATTATTATTATTAGGCAGCATTTTTGCCATTCAACCATCCTACACATAATTATTAGTTAAATCACTTCCCCCAACTTAGTGGCATTCTATCTGGCAGCCCTGATAAATAATGGGCGAATCATACCCAATAGGTGTGGGACTTAAAAAAAAACACTAGACTTTTTGGCTGGCAGCTAAGTATTTCCATCTGTTCATTTCATGACAAAAATCTATAACTTTGAAAAATAGAGCGCTGTAAAATGTGAATTTAGTTGCCTAGCTGCATAAGAGTTTACTATGAGTATGGAAAATTTATGTAGCAAAGAATATTGTTTGAAGCTGGCAAATTGCTTATTTCAGTGTTGATGGGCATTACAGATTGCCTCAAACAGAGGATTCTCACTGCATTCAAATAAAATTAGGGTTCACCATCCAGCAGTTCTCAACGACGCTTACAAAACCACCATCTGCCATTTAACAAAAAAGTTACTCACCTTAACCATCTTCTCATTTAACTCTGGTAAATCTTCCATTTTTTGGTTATCCAACATTCGGACTTCGTAAGATTGACCTGTTGAAATTAAGAAGTCACACAAAAGCCCAATTGAGAATCAGTGTGATTTTAGTTCAAATATGTGTTTACAAAACAACATACATCTTAATGGATGTATTGCAAAACAGCAGTGCGCCCCATATTCATATCCCTGATAACTATGTTATTCAAACACAGCATTGTTAAGAATGTAGTCAAGTACTAAATCTTTGTAATTGCTCAGTTCAAACTGCAGGGGAGGGAAGAGTTGGAAATGCCGTCCTCCATATTAAACATTTAACTGAAGTTTATCTGCCTGAGTTCAGACAAATGCTAAAGATCTCAAGGTACTAAATCCCAAGAGAAGAGTTTCTTCTGGTGTCCTGGTGAACACCATCCAGATAAATTGATCATTTGTCAGTTAGTTGGCTACAAAGTTTATGTACAAAATAGTCACTATACTCGAAATTACTGCAAAATGCTTTTGAGATGTTTTGTACGAGATCGCAGAGGATTATAAGGCTAAGTAGACCCACTTATGTTGATCGATTTCCACAAGACTTCCGACCTACTGCCTCATGGTGAAACTGGAAGCCGTGGGAATACATATGTTCTTATATTGAGAGGCGACATGATTGCTGTCTTTAAGATTCTAAAGAGGCGAGACAATATAGATCATGACAGACTGTTTAAAACTGGTCCAGAATAGTAGAACCAGAGGACATGCCCTGCGATTGAAGGGGTTCAGAGCGAATCTAGCCAAACACTATTTCAGTGAGCGAATAGTGAACCTGTGGAATAGGCTTCCTAGGGAGACGGTTGAAGCAGGAAATGTTGATTCTTTCAAACACAGATTAGATAAATTTTCTTTTAGAAAATAACATTATGGGATATAGTATATAGGGACATATGTGCATGCGACGGCCAGGAAGGTGAACTAGATGGACCTTGGTCTCTTTTTAGTCTAGCATTTCATCTTGGATTGATGCATCAATGATGCGTTCTCCAGGGACAGCAAGATCCCAGACGCAGCATATAAAACCTGTGTGCAAACAGTCTCCCTTTGTGGATCAGAGCTCCTGGGGATACAGCAGATACGCTTCCAACGGTCTATTTACAAAGTCCAGGATCAAGTAGTGAGGTGGATTTGTGACAAACACAGGAAGCGCCTGCGCACATTCTAGGGTCCCAAAGCCTTGGTTCTTGCCAACCTGCACGTAATACTTTCTGAAGTTAGGTAAACAGGATGCATCCCTTCAGGGAGAGAGTGTGCATTCTATTCCAACAAATATTTCTGGAATTTCCGTGTGGGATGCATGAAACTCAGTTTGGTTTGGATACTTTTAAGCATGGTATGGTTTCCCCCGTGTGTCAGACACCCGCCTTTCCAAAGAAAAATGTTCAGCCTTATAAGCTCTATAAAAAGACAAGTTCTATTTTCTTACTATAGGTTACAATGCTCAGTGCTGAGTATCTCTGCTCTTCTATTACATTTTGAAGACATAGAACAGGAGGATCACATTGATATAATCAAGCCTGCTACACCAATTTATCAATCTTAATAATAATAATCCTTGCATTTGATATGACGCCTCAAAACACTTCACAGAATTTACTGTACAGCAAATTGACTGCATATTTTGTGGGCTAAACATGGGAACCAATTACGCACAGCATGGTCCCACAAACAGTCGTGGATTGAGTGACCAAATTATTATTTTTTAAAGAAAATTTTTGGAGGAATTATCAACCCCGAATAAGCGATCCACCAATCGACTACAACCGGGTTCTTACTCACTGCCGGGTAAACAGAGGCATGTGGAGTAAGGAAACTTCCCTAATGTTTCTTGCAGACCTTTTAATACTATTGCCCACCTTTCACTACACAACAACCAACAAATTACATGTGAAAAGCCTTTCATGTCGGGAGGACGTCCCAAGGCACTATTCCCCTTAATATCTCTACAACCCAATGTGTTTCCATCTCTCCTTTGAACATTCCTATTGATTCCATCTTTACAGCTTTGTGGGGCACAGTAATTACTGTGTGAAGAAATGTTTCCTGACCTGAGTTCTAACTATCTCAGCTGTGTCAAGTGCTTTCACTCTTACAGAAGTTGGGCAGATGCGTCTGCTCCAAGGAAAAGTAATAATTGAACAGGAAAACTCAACATTCCAGAATAAAATGTATGGTAAAGTATTTGGGGGTAGTTTGAAAATTGTAGAGCAGACATTTAATGACTGGCATACAGCCAAAACATATGTGTAGCAAAATAATTAGATCATAATGTTTAACCTGGAGACAACAAATAACTGAGCACATGCTGTTCAACCACTTTCTGTTAATGTAGTAATGTCTGCATCAGAACCTGAAGCTGCAACTGGCAGTAAAGTTTCTCTTTGAAGTCAGCAGCTGCTCAACTCCACGCCCCCCACCCCACCCTTTTTGTTAGTGTATGCACCTGCTCTCATTTTAAATAGTGCCTCCAGCACAGCCTCATTTACACCACCAACAGGAGTTCCAAGGATGGGCAGCAACAAGTATCTGCGAGTACAAATTTTATGAACAGTATAACAGTTCACTTTCTTGCAACACCAATATGCTTCAACATTGTGAACTCACCAATACACACTGTAAAACTCAAACCACATTAACCCAATCTCATATTCATTGAAAGTGGACAAATGCTTCATTATCCTACTGCGTCAGATGATAAAGTAAACAGTTTACTTTACTCCCACTGTTTTCAGGTGCAATGACCACCTGTTATTCCGAGAGCTCAGCTGCACTCCCTGCCCTGTCCAGACCATCCCCAGAATTTCTGCAAGAAAATTTGTTTGAAAAGTTGTGACTCTGAAACCCTAATTCATGCCACTGTCTTCCTGTTCTGCAGCAAATCAGCTTCAAGATTTTCATTATGGCATTCAAGTCCATCCACTCCCTCGCCCCACCCTACCTCTACAATCTTCTTCAACCCCAGTCTCTTGCCCATTCCCTCTGCTCTGCAAACGCAGGCCAGGACTGCATAACTCTGGTCTACTTGTCCAATCACTGAGCTTTTAACAACTACGCTTCCTGAATCCCTCTGCTTAAAACCCACCGTCTGCTTTCAAAACCCTCTTAAAAACCTACCTTTAGCACTGGTTTAAACAGTCGGCTCTCTGCTATTAAAAATGAACATACATTATAAAGGTGAACAATTTAAAGACTTAATAAAACTAAAGAACAAAATAGGGAAACTGCACTATCTTTTGCATCTTTGTATACAAGTACGTGNAAAAAACTATTTATAGAAATGTTTCAGTCTGCGGTGTGAGTCAGTCAGGTCACATCTATAACCAAAACTACTTTCTTCCCACCAACTAAGCCAACGCTATTAAATTCAGTAACTTAATTCTGCCTATACACTTACAGCCTCTGATACTGAACTTGAGCAGCAACAGCAGCATATCTTTCTGGACAGCAATTAATGGTAAATTTCAAAGCTGTGAGGATTGCACAGAACCCAAGACAGACTGAATTAATTAGTAAACAAATTAATCATAGCAATTGTTTTTGGAACTGAAATGGCTCCATGAAAAGTACTGGTAATAATAATCTTTGCATTTGATATTCTGTCTTTCACGACAATTACTGTTAGCAGCGTAGGCATTGACTTATAAAGTGCAGTCACAACACTTTACAGCATATTTTTTGTGTGTCAGGCTGGCTCAGTCAGTAGCACTCTCATCTCTGAGTCAGAAGGTTGTGGGTTCGAGCCCCACATCGGGTCTTGGAACTCATACAGTCTAAGATGACAACTCCAATGCATTGTTGGAGGTGTCATCCTTTGGATGAGAAGCTGAACCAAGGCCCCATCTGCCTGTTCAGGTGGACGTTAAAGATCCCATGCTATTGGAAAAACAATTAGGGACACTGCTGTGCATACATTAGCTGCCTCGTTTGCCCACAAAAAAGTACACAGTCAATGCGCTTTAAAGTATATCATATAAAGTGCTGCAAGATGTCCACCTGACATGAAAGCCGCAATACCAAATGTAAGAATTATTATTATTACTATTATTATTTCATCCTGTGAAGCATTTTGAGATGGCCTCCTGTCGTGAAAGACAGATTATCAAATGCAAAGATTATTATTACCAGTACTTTTCAATATAATCTGTAAAGGTGCGAAGCAGCTCACAAAACTTAAGAGCATTGGCTCTGTTAGCTAACCTTCATTTGCCCTTCCCCCTTTACAGATGAAGCATTGAAACATCCCATCTTATCATTTGAGGACCTGAACAAGCATACTTTCAGATTCTTTCACAGAGAGAATGCAACTCCCAGTTTGTTTGTTTTTAAAAAAGGGAGGGGTTCAAGACTTCCAAACTTCTAAGATGAACAACAATATAAACAAATTATAGTGCCTTTCATGTCTGGAGGATCTCCCAAGGCTCTCTATAGATGAAGCTCACTGCCTGAAAGCAAGACTCAACTTTCACAACTATCCTGAGGCAAGGAGGTAAGCAATAGCACTTTTCTGACAGCACATCATTCCCTTCACATCCCCAAAGCAGACTATCAGGAAACTAGGAAGCCTTCCCTCCCCCTTTTCAAGTCCCACCTGAAAACCTTCCTTTTCAACCGTACTTATGGTCACCTCCCCCCACCCCGGCTCAAAGTCAGGCTCCGCCACTGTTAAGCGCTCTGAGACACTACCCTGGGTGGAGTTCGCTATATAAGCCCAAATTATTGTTGTATTATCTGGTGATCGACAAGACTGTCGCTGACACAGATCACTTTTTAACAACTTCATTCCTTCCAGGCAGAACTCATATTTACAAATCCTTCAAGACTCCACATCTTTTCCTATTCAGCTTCCAACAGGATAAAGGATCACCACAACAACAGCTTTCACTTATGTGGGTAGTGTCTCACAATGCTCAACAGTCACGGAGCTTGAAAGCGAGGTGGGGAGAGATTACCGCAGGTCAAAGAGGAACATCTTCAGGTGCGATGTGAAGACGGGCAAGGAAGGGGGAAAACTGGAGGAACTGAGGCAGATTTCCAGACTTTCAGAGCTTATTGACTGAAAGCAGGGCCACCAATGGTGAATCGGAGGGGATGAGGGACTGTAAAAGAACTAATTTGTACACAAGTGTGAGGATCTTGAAATCGATCTGTTCTGCCATGGATAGCCAGTGGAGCCTCGCAAAGACTGGGATGATGGGGTGTGGAGCCTGGTATGGGCAAGAATAAAGGTGGTGGAGTTTTGGATTGTTTGGATTTTGGGGGCGGTGGAGCTGGGGAGACCAGCAATGAGGGTATTTGAAAAATCGTGGTGGGAAGTGACGAATGCGTGGATGAGGCTTTCAGTTTTGGGCTTGCGGTGTGGTCAGACGTAGGCAATGTGGCAGAAATGGAGGAAAACAGTCCTGGTCAGGGACCAGATGTGGGATGGAAAGAACAGCTGGGAAATGAACCTGATGCCTAAGTTGCGCACATAATTCTCACTGAACGTAACAAGATGCATCCCAAATCTCCCACCGCATTACAAGGTCTTCCTCATCCATGAACTGCCTTTGCTCGTTTGGCATTAGAATGTACCTTTTGAAAGCAAGTGATAATTTCAAATTGAAAACAGTCGCAGATTAGACTCGGACTCCCATAAAAACAGCTCCTCTCCTACTCAGCTTTCCAGCAGGATGGAGAGAGTAACTGATTTTATTTGGAGGACTGAGTCTGTCTCGGCTGCTATTTTGCTCACATTCTTGACAAGAGTTAATTCAAACCGTTATAAGGTAATAAAGAAAATAAAAATTCATCTCTTTCCCTATACATGTACAAGCACGCAGATAAGCCAAACTGGATTCATAACTGAATACATTTAAACATACCTTGGTTCAAGTATGTGAGGGTTTCATCGTGCAGTTTCACTGCAGGAGATGTGGCTGTACAGAGCACATACTGATATGGTGGATGTTTTGTCTCATTCTCTGATGGAAGGCTCGAGTCTTCTTGCTTGAAAATGGGTAGGGCTAAGACATCACTGCAAAATCAGGAATAAGAATATCAATACAATCTACCCACTCCAAGAAAAAGATGGCTATCAATACAATGTGTAACAGGAAAAGACTAATATTTAAATGTAAAATAAAGTAGGTCAACATCATTATAGAATAATAATCATTTTACTTGATTATCACCTTATCACATCATTAAGATGCTGTAAAACGGTGGGACTATGTGTATTTTGTGGGCACATGTAGCAGTCTATTTGTGCACAGCAATGTCCCACAAACAGCTCCTCTCCTCAGCTTTCCAGGAGGATGAAGAGAATAATCCATTTTATTTGGAGGACTGTTGGCCAGGACACAGGGATAAACTCCTTTCTCCTTTCAAATAATGCCATGAGATCTTTAGCATCTACCCAGACAGGAAGAACGAACCCCATTTAACAGCCCATCAGAAGGATTGCACCTCCAACAATATAGCACAGCAATGCAACATAGACTATATGGGTTCTAAGTCTTGACATGGGGTTTGAACCCACAACCTTTTGACTCAGAGGGAAGAATGGTACCAACTGAGCCAAACTGATAATTATAACCCACATAAAATCAAGGCATGATCAGACGCAGCAATGCAACCTCACTAACCATAAGATCCTTACCATCACTGAACACGTGCACAGAAAGCCAGCTGACTGCTCTAATGTTGGACTGCTTCAAAAAAACCTCAGTGCACTTCATTTATGTTGTTAAGATAATGTAATGTGGTTGGAACAATGTTGAGATTTTGAGGTAAGGAAATGTCAAGATCCACAACCCAATCAGATTACGTACTCACATTATAGCAAGGCGCATCAGATCTGGTATTCCTGTATTTAACAGAATGTACAAATTTATCAAACCTAAGCTTTCAATACATTTAAAGCTCAACTAACTTGATATTAAGGTCTATTTATTGTAATGAAGGAGGAACATTTTAAGACTTATTTGCTCAACCTCAAAAGGATAAATAATAGAAGCAAATAATTTAGCTATCATTGAAATGGCTTAGGTAAACCTGATCTTGTCTGAAACGAACATAATTTCTTGATAAGTTTATAAGTATCACCCTACAAGTCATACCAAAAGCAATCTCTCCAGTAATTTAAAGTCACAGCAGGTCAGTTAAGTATTAAGTTACCCTCTGGCTACCAAGTGCTAAGATTTAATATCTATCTGAAAAACAAGAATTACGTAAGGAATTTGTAAAAGCACGAGACACCATAGGGGTCCTCAGGACAACTCCATGCCAACCACTGAAAGTTTTTATTCACTTTTAAAATAGTCAGACCAGACGAATCCTAAATCCGTCTTACAGCACAATACTAAAATTCTCAGCCAACCCAAAACAGTTGTAACACCTAATAACACCTAATAAACACTTTCAACAGCAGATTTTTAAATATTTGCTTGTTTTTCTCAATTTTCTAGCGAAACAACAGCAGCAACAATAAAATAAATTTTTACATGGGGGGGACATCTTTCAGATCGGGAGGACGTCCCAAGGCGCTGGACAATCAGAGTTTTGCACCCGAGCTAGGGGTCGGGATTGGGAAGGGTGGAGGGCGGGGGGGGAAGCAGGGTGATCGAATGCACGAGTCGAAGAGGAGGGTCTTGAGATGGGTCTTGAAGGAGGCAAAGGACGGGGCAAGGTGGAGGAACTGCGGGATGGAGTTCCAAAGGGTGGGGGCAGAGTGGCAGAAAGACATAAAGTATTAGGCGCAGGTTGGCAAGAACCAAGGCTTGGGGACCTCAGAGTGTGCATTGGAGTACTGCTAAAGTCTAAGCAGCTAAAAACGCATAGCTTGCCACTGATTCTGCAGTCTGGTAAGCTTTCCCACTGCTTGTCCAGCTAGGGCAGGGCTAACAACAACTCGCACTTATATAGCGCCCTCCACGCAGAGTAGTGTCTCAGAGCGGAATGGCAGAGCCGGGGGGGGGGGAGGAAGTGGCCGTAGGCACGGTCAAAGAGGAAGGTCTTCAGGCAGGACTTGAAAAAGGGAAGGGAGCAAGGAGGAGGGATTGAGGGAGAGTGTTCCAGAGTTACGGGGTGTAGTGGCTATAAGCGCAACCAATGATAGTGGGGCAGAGGGTGAGCGGGATGAGCAGGAGGCCGGTGCCAGTCGATCGGAGGCGCCAGGTGGTGGATTGGAGAGTGAGGAGGTCAGAGAGGTGGGGAGGTTCCAGAGAGTGAAGGGATTTGAACACTAGTGTGAGGATGTTGAAGTCGATCTATTCGGTGATGGGGAGGCAGTGGAGCCTGGCCAGAATGGGTGAGATGTGGGTGCAGAGTTTGGTCTGGGTAAGGCGGCAGAGTTCTGAATGAGCTAGGTCTTTTGAGTGAGCTGGGGAAACCAGCGAGGAGTAAGTTTGAGTAATCCAGGCAGGAGGTGACAAACACGTGCACAAGGGTTTTGGCTGTATTTGGGGTAATGTGTGTTCGGAGGCAGGCAATGTGGCAGAGGTCGAAGAACATCGACGGACCTAGAGTTAGTACTGGAAGAGGCAAAGTAGATTTGTATGTTGTCCGCATACATGTGGAAGTTTACTCCGTGTCTGCAAATGACATCATCCAGAAGGATGATAAGGAAAAGGGAGCCAAGGATGGAGCTTTGTGGTACCCTGCAGGTGACTGGACGGGGGCGGGAGGAGAAAACATGAAATGAAGGCGGTTGGTTAAGTAGGACTTGAACCATGCGAGTGCTGTCGCACTAAGATGGATGAGAGAGGAGAGGCAATGGGGGAGGATGGCGTGGTCGACTGTGTCGAACACAGCAGAGAGATCCAGGAGGACAAGGAGACAGAGGGAGCACTGGTCACAGATAGCGAGGATGTTGTTTGTGACTTTGACAAGTGTCTCTGTGCTGTGGACGGGGCGAAAACCAGACTGCAGAGGCTTGAGGAGGGAGTGCAGGGAGAGGTGTGACCGAAGTTGACCTGCAATAATGCATTCCAGGACTTTGACAAGGAAGGGTAGGTTAGAAATGGGACGGTAGCAGTAGGGAGAGGAGGGGGAGCTGAGTGACCAGCAGCTGGGTGAGAAGGGGATTGAGGCAGCAGGTGGTAAACTTTACACTATATTTACTGATAACAGGGCTAACAGGAGTTGAGTTAGATGACTTCCTGCTCCCAGTGACTGGTCTGACCTTCCAGGTCCCGCCGATGAGCCAGGCTGACTGTGCTGTCATTAGTAGTGCCCTAGAATACTGCGGACCCGCCCGGCTCAGGAACCGGACTACTACCAAGACCGCAACAGAGGGCTGGCTCGATTCCGACATTCCACTGCCAGACATGTCACCTTGGAGTCAGTTCAGCTCCAAGAAGACCCTAACGGAGGACCGTTTACAATTATCATCTACAAGTCATATCAAAAGTAATCTCTCTAGTAATTTATACGCATGAATTGCAACAAGTCATACTCGCTGGTCGTGACAAAGAAGGAAGGGGGTGGGGGTCTCTTGTCTAAACCAGAAAAATAAATATGGAGGTTCGGGCTTCAGATATCATTTAAAAAGGTGACCTCCAAATGGTGGAAAGGTTAAAAGGCACCTCCAAATAGTGGAACCATTGCTTATTGGGAAGGGAGGGACATGTGTAGGAGCTGTGGGCAGGATGGTGGAAATACTCTTGACACATTTCTGATGACAGGACGCTGCTGATGACAGCACATCCAGACTGGCTCACATGTAGGACACGGAAGGACAGACCAGTCACTGGTGGCAGGGACTCCCTCTCTCTACTCAGCTTCTGTTAACCTTGCAAAACAAAGTCCTAACAAGTAGGGCGGTCCCAGCTGGACAAACACCAGGAAAGCCTGCCAAGCATTCCATTCCAATAAACATCTCTGGAATTTCCAGGTTTAGTTTTGATGCTCTTAAGCATGGGTGATGGGTTTCCGCATGCATCAGACACCTGGCTGACCAAAAAAATGTATTTATCAATCTATAAAAATAAAAACACCTGTTTTCCAGGAATGACAGGAACAAATCATCTGCTTACTGGGAATGGCAAGAACAAAACATCTGCTTTCTGGAATGGCAGGCTAAATTCAATCTGTTTACACCCCCAGGGAATGGCAGGTTAATTCAGTCTGTTTACACCCCTCAACCAATGTCTAATCATACGGTAATTGTCATACTGCACTTTGGGTACCCAAATAGGAATAATAATCCTCAGATTTGATACAGCGCCTTTCACGTCTTCAAGACATCTCAAAGTACTTCACAAAATATATTATAAAGTGAATTGACTACATATTTTGTGGGCGAAACACGGCAGCCTATTGCGATCAGCAGTGTCCCACATACAGTCGTGGATTGAAGTGACCCGATTTATTATTATTTTAATAAATAATGTACAGGAACAGAAAAAAACATTATTGTTCCAAAGCAAAAAACATGCCACATGTTACTTCTCATATCTTCAATCAATTTTTCGCCAAATGGAGTAGCTAGCCAACTCCCAATTGAAACTTCACTTCCTTTAAAGCACACGCAATAGGTATAAAAGATAGTTTAAAAAAAGTCCAAACGTATTGTAATACCTTGCATGTTATAGCGACGTATTACATCACAGACTTCAAAGCACTTCACAGAGTATACTGTAAAGTGGATTGACTGATATTTTGTGGGCGAAACGCAGGAGCCAATTCCACACAGCAGTGTCCCACGAAAACAGCCGTGGATTGAGTGACCAAATTATTATTATTATTTTTGGAAGGGATTATTACCCCCAGAAAGCGATTTGCCAATTGACTAACAACCAGGTTCCTACTTACTGCTAGGTAAACAGGAGAGTTGCCTGAGGTGTTGTCCTGCCCATGAATTGAACTTGGGTCCTCTCGCTTTGCAAGGCGAGTCCTCTAGTGATAAATATAGTCACTAAAAGTTGTTGGGAGAAGGGGTTTGTCAATAACTTTTTTTAAATAAAATAAGATTTTCTGATCTAGGTGGTACCAACGTAGATTAGTGTCTGACACCAGGAATTGAGACTAAGTCTGTGTGGATGACTCTGCAAATTGTTTGTATGCCAATGACAGCTGTGGCAAGCGCAGACAGAGAAACAAACAGTACTGACCTTGAATCCTAAAAGGGAACTGGATAATCACCTAGGTACTAAATAATTTAGGAATACAGGGAGAAGAGCCAATTAATTTTTAAAGTGACAAAAAAGCTGTCAGTTATACAAACATAATAGGCTAAAAGGCCTCATTCTGTATTCAAAAACATGTTTTCTGCTTTCTACTGTAAACAACTTCTCATTTTCCTTCTACCTCTGCCCCTCACTCATTCACTCCACTTCCCCCACTGCCCTTCCCCCCACTCTGAACCCTTTCCCCCCTCTCTCCCCATCTCTCTATCATTACTGTAGCCCCCCCCCCCCCACTCTCTCTCTCCCCTCATGTTGTAGGCACCCTCACAATCTCTCTCACCTCATACTATAGCCCCTCCCCCCCATCTCTCTCTTAGATACCTCATACTGTTGCCCTCCCCGCTCTCACACCCCAAACTGTAGTCCCCCCACTCTCTCTAACCTCATACTGTGGGACACTGCTGTGTGCAATTAGCTGCCGTGTTTTGCCCACAAAAGTCTCTACAACAACAACTTGCACTTATGTAGCGCCCCCCTCCGCCCCACGCAGGGTAGCGTCTCAGAGCGCTTAACAGTGCGGAGCCTGATTCTGTGCCGGGGTGGGTGGGGGGGGGAGGAGGGAGAGTTGGCTATAAGCACGGTTGAAGAGGAAAATTTTCACCACACTTTACAGTATAACCTTTGAAGAACCTGGAGACAGCTCAAGACTTGATAACGCATTATATCAAATGCAAGGATTATTACTATTACTGTAAGGCCCCCTCTCTGAACTCATACTATAGACCCCACTCTCACCTAATATTGTAGTCACCTCCACTTCTTACCTCATACTGTAGCCCCCTCCCTCTCTCATTCTAACATTGTAGCCCCCCACTCTCACTTCATATTGTAGCCCCACCTCTCTCGCACCTCATACTGTAGCCCCCCCTCTCTCTCACCTCATACTGTAGCCCCCCCCACCCCTCTCTCACCTCATACTGTAGCCCACTCTCTCTCACCTCATACTGTAGCCCCCATCTCTCTCACCTCATACTGTAGCCCCCCCCCACACCTCATATTGCAGCCCCCCCTCTCTCACCTCATACTGCAGCCCCCTCTCACCTCATACTATAGCCCCTCTCTCACCTCATACTGTAGCCCCCCCCCTCTCACCTCATACTGTAGCCCCCCCCCACACCTCATATTGCAGCCCCCCCTCTCTCACCTCATACTGCAGCCCCATCTCACCTCATACTATAGCCCCTCTCTCACCTCATACTGTAGCCCCTCTCTCACCTCATACTGTAGCCCCCCCCTCTCACCTCATACTGTAGCCCCCCCCTCTTACCTCATACTGTAGCCCCCCCACACCTCATACTGCGGCCCCCTCTCACCTCATACTGTAGCCCCCCTCACTCTCACCTCATACTGTAGCCCCCACCCCTCTCTCACCTCATACTGCAGCCCCCCTCTCACCTCATACTGTAGCCCCCCTCACTCTCACCTCATACTGTAGCCCCCACCCCTCTCTCACCTCATACTGTAGCCCCTCCCACACCTCATACTGCAGTCCTCCTCTCACCTCATACTATAATCCCCTCTCTCACCTCATACAGTAGCCCCCTCTCACCTCATACAGTAGCCCCCTCTCACCTCATACAGTAGCCCCCCTCTCACCTCATACAGTAGCCCCCCTCTCACCTCATACTGTAGCCCCCCCTCTCACCTCATACAGTAGCCCCCCTCTCACCTCATACAGTAGCCCCCTCTCACCTCATACAGTAACCCCCTCTCACCTCATACAGTAACCCCCTCTCACCTCATACAGTAACCCCCTCTCACCTCATACAGTAGCCCCCTCTCACCTCATACAGTAGCCCCCCTCTCACCTCATACAGTAGCCCCCCTCTCACCTCATACAGTAGCCCCCCTCTCACCTCATACAGTAACCCCCTCTCACCTCATACAGTAACCCCCTCTCACCTCATACAGTAACCCCCTCTCACCTCATACAGTAGCCCCCTCTCACCTCATACAGTAGCCCCCTCTCACCTCATACAGTAGCCCCCTCTCACCTCATACAGTAGCCCCCCTCTCACCTCATACAGTAACCCCCTCTCACCTCATACAGTAGCCCCCTCTCACCTCACCTACCCCCCTCTCACCTCATACAGTAGCCCCCTCTCACCTCATACCGTAGCCCCTCTCACCTCATACCGTAGACCCCTCTCTCTCTCACCTCATACAGTAGCCCCCTCTCACCTCATAAGTAGCCCCTCTCACCTCATACAGTAGCCCCCCTCTCACCTCATACAGTAGCCCCCTCTCACCTCATACTGTAGACCCCTCTCTCTCTCACCTCATACTGTAGCCCCCCCCCTCTCACCTCATACAGTAACTCCCCTCTCACCTCATACTGTAGCCCCTCTCTCTCTCACCTCATACAGTAGCCCCCCCCTCTCTCACCTCATACTGTAGCCCCCCTCTCTCTCACCTCATACTGTAGGCCCCGGCCCCCAGCTCTTGGCCGATTCCGGACAAACTGGCGTCGAAGTCGTGCACGAGGCCGGACTCGATGGCGTCGTCCATCTTCAGCACCCAGGCCATGGTGAGGGAGGCCGAGCCCGGCCCCGGCCCCGGCCCGGGCTGTGTGTGTGTGTGTGTGTGTGTGGAGGGCGGTGCTGTGACAGGCCCGGGGCCGGGCCCCGCTCACTGGGCCATGGTGCCGCACAGACACACACACACACACGGACGGGCTGACAGACACGCACTGGCGGCTGATCCCAGCGCCGCCCACAGACGCGGCTCCACGCCCCCACTCCCGGCTCTCGCCTCACGCGCTGCCCGCGCCCCCGGAGCTGCGGTTGCTGTCGTCGTCGCCGCCTCCTCCGTTCCCTTCCCGATCCCACACCGACTCCGGCACAAACATGGCCGCTCGTCACCCTCCACCCAGCCGCCGACCCCAAAACCGCGCCTGCGCACAGCAGCCGTCCCGGTCCCGCTGACTTGATAGCTTGGACCAACCAATCTGAGTCCGGAGCACGCCCTCCCCGGGGCTGAGTGACACATAGCTTTAGCCAATCATCACGCAGAATCTGCCCTCCCTGCTGAGTGACTGCCTCGTTCAGTCAATCAGAGCCCGCCCTCCTGGGTGAGTTACAGCCAATCAGAGCCCGCCCTCCTGGGTGAGTTACAGCCCAGTGTGAGGTGAGTGGGGTGGGGGGGCTACAGTGTGAGTGTGAGAGGGGTGGGGGGGCTACAGTGTGAGGTGAGAGGGCTACAGTGTGAGGTGGGGGGGCTACAGTGTGAGGTGAGAGGGGTGGGGGGGGCTACAGTGTGAGGTGAGAGGGGTGGGGGGCTACAGTGTGAGGTGAGAGGGGGGGGGCTACAGTGTGAGGTGAGAGGGGGGGGGGCTACAGTGTGAGGTGAGAGGGCTACAGTGTGAGGTGAGAGGGGCTTACAGTGTGAGGTGAGAGGGTGGGTGGGGCTACAGTGTGAGGTGAGAGGGGTGGGGGGCTACAGTGTGAGGTGAGGGTGGGGGCTACAGTGTGAGGTGAGAGGGGGACTACAGTGTGAGGTGAGAGGGGGGGACTACAGTGTGAGGTGAGAGGGGGGGACTACAGTGTGAGGTGAGAGGGGGGACTACAGTGTGAGGTGAGAGGGGTGGGGGCTGCAGCGTGAGGTGAGGGGGTGGGGGGGCTACAGCGTGAGGTGAGAGGGTGGGGGGCTACAGTGTGAGGTGAGAGGGGGGGGCTACAGTGTGAGGTGAGAGGGGGGACTACAGTGTGAGGTGAGAGGGGGGACTACAGTGTGAGGTGAGAGGGGGCTACAGTGTGAGGTGAGAGGGGCTACAGTGTGAGGTGAGAGGGGGCTACAGTGTGAGGTGAGAGGGGGCTACAGTGTGAGGTGAGGGGGGCTACAGTGTGAGGTGAGAGGGGCTACAGTGTGAGGTGAGAGGGGGGCTACAGTGTGAGGTGAGAGGGGGGCTACAGTGTGAGGTGAGAGGGGGCTACAGTGTGAGGTGAGAGGGGGCTACAGTGTGAGGTGAGAGGGGGGGGGGCTACAGTGTGAGGTGAGAGGGGGCTACAGTGTGAGGTGAGAGGGGGCTACAGTGTGAGGTGAGAGGGGGCTACAGTGTGAGGTGAGAGGGGGCTACAGTGAGGTGAGAGGGGGCACTACAGTGTGAGGTGAGAGGGGGGACTACAGTGTGAGGTGAGGGGGGGCTACAGTGTGAGGTGAGAGGGGGCTACAGTGTGAGGTGAGAGGGGGCTACAGTGTGAGGTGAGAGGGGGCTACAGTGTGAGGTGAGAGGGGCTACAGTGTGAGGTGAGAGGGGGCTACAGTGTGAGGTGAGAGGGGCTACAGTGTGAGGTGAGGGGGGGCTACAGTGTGAGGTGAGGGGGGGCTACAGTGTGAGGTGAGGGGGCTACAGTGTGAGGTGAGAGGGGGCTACAGTGTGAGGTGAGGGGCTACAGTGTGAGGTGAGAGGGGTGGGGGGCTACAGTGTGAGGTGTGGGGGGGCTACAGTGTGAGGTGGGGGGCTACAGTGTGAGGTGAGGGGTGGGGGGGCTACAGTGTGAGGTGTGGGGGCTACAGTGTGAGGTGAGGGGGCTACAGTGTGAGGTGAGAGGGGTGGGGGGGCTACAGTGTGAGGTGAGAGGGGCTACAGTGTGAGGTGAGAGGGTGGGGGGGGCTACAGTGTGAGGGTGGGGGGGCTACAGTGTGAGGGGTGGGGGGGCTACAGTGTGAGGGTGGGGGGGCTACAGTGTGAGGTGAGAGGGGTGGGGGGCTACAGTGTGAGGGGTGGGGGCTACAGTGTGAGGGATGGGGGCTACAGTGTGAGGTGAGAGGGGTGGGGGGCTACAGTGTGAGGGGTGGGGGGGCTACAGTGTGAGGGGTGGGGTGGGCTACAGTGTGAGGTGAGAGGGGTGGGGGGGCTACAGTGTGAGGTGAGAGGGTGGGGGGCTACAGTGTGAGGTGAGAGGGGTGGGGGGGCTACAGTGTGAGGTGAGAGGGGTGGGGGGCTACAGTGTGAGGTGAGAGGGGCTACAGTGTGAGGTGAGAGGGTGGGGGGCTACAGTGTGAGGTGAGAGGGGTGGGGGGGCTACAGTGTGAGGTGAGAGGGGTGGGGGGGCTACAGTGTGAGGTGAGAGGGTGGGTGGGCTACAGTGTGAGGTGAGAGGGGTGGGGGGGCTACAGTGTGAGGTGAGAGGGTGGGGGGGCTACAGTGTGAGGTGAGAGGGGTGGGGGGGCTACAGTGTGAGGTGAGAGGGGCTACAGTGTGAGGTGAGAGGGGTGGGGGGGGCTACAGTGTGAGGTGACAGGGGTGGGGGGCTACAGTGTGAGGGTGGGGGGGCTACAGTGTGAGGTGAGAGGGGTGGGGGGCTACAGTGTGAGGGTGGGGGGGCTACAGTGTGAGGGGTGGGGGGGGCTACAGTGTGAGGGGTGGGGGGGCTACAGTGTGAGGTGATAGGGGTGGGGGGGCTACAGTGTGAGGTGAGAGGGGTGGGGGCTACAGTGTGAGGTGGGGGGCTACAGTGTGAGGGGGGGGCTACAGTGTGAGGTGGGGTGGGCTACAGTGTGAGGTGAAGGGGTGGGGGGGGCTACAGTGTGAGGTGAGAGGGGTGGGGGGGCTACAGTGTGAGGTGAGAGGGGTGGGGGGCTACAGTGTGAGGTGAGAGGGGTGGGGGGGCTACAGTGTGAGGTGAGAGGGGTGGGGGGCTACAGTGTGAGGTGAGAGGGGTGGGGGGGGCTACAGTGTGAGGTGAGAGGGGCTACAGTGTGAGGTGAGAGGGTGGGGGGGCTACAGTGTGAGGTGAGAGGGGTGGGGGGGCTACAGTGTGAGGTGAGAGGGGTGGGGGGCTACAGTGTGAGGTGAGTGGGGTGGGGGGGCTACAGTGTGAGGTGAGAGGGTGGGGGGGCTACAGTGTGAGGTGAGAGGGGCTACAGTGTGAGGGGTGGGGGGCTACAGTGTGAGGTGAGAGGGGTGGGGGGCTACAGTGTGAGGTGAGAGGGGTGGGGGGGCTACAGTGTGAGGTGAGAGGGGGGGGCTACAGTGTGAGGTGAGAGGGGGGGGGCTACAGTGTGAGGTGAGAGGGGCTACAGTGTGAGGTGAGAGGGGCTACAGTGTGAGGTGAGAGGGGTGGGTGGCTACAGTGTGAGGTGAGAGGGGTGGGGGGGGCTACAGTGTGAGGTGAAAGGGGTGGGGGGGCTACAGTATGAGGTGAGGGGGGGCTACAGTGTGAGGTGAGAGGGGGGACTACAGTGTGAGGTGAGAGAGGGGGGGACTACAGTGTGAGGTGAGAGGGGGACTACAGTGTGAGGTGAGGGGTGGGGGGCTACAGCGTGAGGTGAGAGGGGTGGGGGGCTACAGTGTGAGGTGAGAGGGGTGGGGGCTACAGTGTGAGGTGAGAGGGGGGGCTACAGTGTGAGGTGAGAGGGGGGACTACAGTGTGAGGTGAGAGGGGGGACTACAGTGTGAGGTGAGAGGGGGCTACAGTGTGAGGTGAGAGGGGGCTACAGTGTGAGGTGAGAGGGGGCTACAGTGTGAGGTGAGAGGGGGCTACAGTGTGAGGTGAGAGGGGGCTACAGTGTGAGGTGAGAGGGGGGGCTACAGTGTGAGGTGAGAGGGGGGGCTACAGTGTGAGGTGAGAGGGGGGACTACAGTGTGAGGTGAGAGGGGGGACTACAGTGTGAGGTGAGAGGGGGGCTACAGTGTGAGGTGAGAGGGGGCTACAGTGTGAGGTGAGAGGGGGCTACAGTGTGAGGTGAGGGGGGCTACAGTGTGAGGTGAGAGGGGGCTACAGTGAGGTGAGAGGGGGCACTACAGTGTGAGGTGAGAGGGGGGCTACAGTGTGAGTGAGGGGGGCTACAGTGTGAGGTGAGAGGGGGCTACAGTGTGAGGTGAGAGGGGGCTACAGTGTGAGGTGAGAGGGGCTACAGTGTGAGGTGAGAGGGGGCTACAGTGTGAGGTGAGAGGGGGCTACAGTGTGAGGTGAGAGGGGGCTACAGTGTGAGGTGAGGGGGGGCTACAGTGTGAGGTGGGGGGGCTACAGTGTGAGGTGAGGGGGGCTACAGTGTGAGGTGAGAGGGGGCTACAGTGTGAGGTGAGGGGGGCTACAGTGTGAGGTGAGAGAGGTGGGGCTACAGTATGAGGTGAGAGAGAGGGGAGTTACAGTGTGAGGTGAGAGGGGGCTACAGTGTGAGGTGAGAGGGGGCTACAGTGTGAGGTGAGAGGGGGGGCTACAGTGTGAGGTGAGAGGGGGCTACAGTGTGAGGTGAGAGGGGGCTACAGTGTGAGGTGAGAGGGGCTGGGGGGGCTACACCTGCTGCTAATGTACTCCTCCACACTCTCACTGCGCGGCCCCCTCTCTGCCCTTTTTCAAGTCCCGCCTGAAAACCTCCCTCTTCGGCCGTGCTTCCGGCCATCTCTCCTCCCCCGCCACCCACCCCGGCTCGGAGTCAAGCTCCGCCACTGTGAGGCGCTCTGAGGCGCTACCCTTGCGTGGAGGGCGTTACACAAGTGCAAATTGTTGTTGTTATTATATCACCCTGCACATCGGGAGGAGGTTACACTATCAAGTGCCCTGACCTTGTTATTTTGTAGGCAAACAATATTAAGCGTATGTTTTTGTCAGCCGGGTGTCTGACACGTACCGAAACCCATCTCCGTGCTTAAGAGTATCCAAACCAAACTGCGAGTTCCACTCATCCCATCAACACACGGAAATCCTGGAGAGATTGTTGGTATGGGATGCGCACTCTCTCCCTGGAGGGACGCATCCTGCTTACTTAATTCTGGGACATGTTCATTATTTATTACATTAACATATTAATTAATATTAATATATTAATTCATAACACTTATTAATATTAAGAACATCTATATCCAGTACTGTACTGTGGATTGCAAGTCCATTTAAACATGTAAATGCTTTTTTCTCTTTTGAAATAAGTTTCACGCTTTAAAATA